TAATAATGTGTCCATTTATATAGCGCCAAACTCCACACTAGGTATGCTCATAGCGCTAACAATCAAGGTACAGCACATTATTATACAGTTAATGTTATCCCTTTGGTAGACTAATGCTTTGTCTCTGAATATATCTCATTTTGATAGTGACAAACAAGCCCATTTAAATTGAACAGGAGCCCCCAGGGAGACCAGAGATTCTTTATTTAGGGCTTTAGCACTGCAGAGAGGGCTTGGCAGTAGGGAAAATAATGTGGTTCAGGGACTGTGAGACAGACTATCCCTTTGGTTATACAGTCTTGTGAAGAGAGCTTTGTCACTTTAAATATCTTACGCATCCCCGACCGCGTCATACCAAAAGAGGTTAAAATATGGTACTTGTTGGTCCCTGCCGGGCGCTCGGCATTAATGGGTACAACAAGGACTGGTCGGCTCGGAGTCAGTATAATGTGTCTGAGTGGGGTATTCATGCTTCACTGCGGCATGGTATCTCAGTGGGCTAGCACTATAAAACCAGCTTAAGTCTGGGCTAGTGCAAGCAGCTGCACATACACACGCATGCACGTCGTCAAATGAGCGAAATATTCTCAAGCACGACGTTAAACCCAATTTCACCTCTTACGCAGACTCGAAGAGTCGGTCTCATTGGTCTGTTTTATACTGAGCTGGTCTCATTGGTCTGTTTTATACTGAGCTCAAGTGAGAAACCCAGATGAAGTGAATATTGACTTTTTGGTTCAAGTCACATAAACAAAAGGGATTTTCCGGCACTTCAGTCATTTCTTGTTCTCTCTCTAAAAGAACACACTACACACCCAGATCCGTATATTTCGAAGCAGCATATGATTTCAGACACACTTCATCTAACCCTAACCAGAAATTAGTTTCCCAGCCCATAAATAAACTTGCAAATCCGTGCAAACATGATAAAGCTATTGTCGTGTATAAAGCTATCGTCATTTATATGTTTCCATTAACCCTTACGCAGAAAACTATTTACGTCAAATTAATTAAGAAAGAGTCCACGATCTGATAGTTATTTTGTTAATACAGTGACACATGCAAGCTGTCATCGACAAAGACAGAGACCCTGTAGCAGTATTGTATAACACAAACCTGCAACTACTGCTGCCAATACGAGAAATGCCGTGACAGGCTTCTGCCCTTGGATTCTTCTCTGTCATAACTTGCCATCGATTGCTGTTTCCTTGGTCTGCCATACAGACCCTGAAATGCATATATCCAAGAAAGCCCATGCAAGTCTATAATATGTGGCAAGTCTAGATTCTCAGTTTCAGAAAATGAAGAAAGTCTCTGGCCTCCTTTCCCTATGGTTTATGATTTTTTATGACCATTTTTTCTGTAAAATATGTTAATTTCAGATACTAGATATTAGTCGATTGTTTCCTCTATTTCTGCGTATACATAATCTTAACTAAATAACCATTTCATCCCACTCGTTGATCACGTGTGTGATAAAATCTCTAGCCCCTGTACCGAAACATCGCATAAAAAGAATATAGAAGATGAACTTCAAAATTAAAATGTATAGACTTGGTCCACAATTGAAATTCCCATAACTTATTAATTTAAACTGAGCAGGGAAACGTAAACACCGTGTGGTCAATATAGTAATGTGTTATGCATGACACTGAGAATATGCGCTGTAACAATCCAACTCTCAGATCCCAAGGTCACTGTGGTGAGATAACATTTGGAGATTAGATGCTTTGGCTGTCCTGGCAAGCTCGACACAATGTCAGCCTTGTTTGCATGGCGATAAAATGACCGACAAAATCGATCAGACGAACAGACTTACAAAGTTAATTGCGTGGAGACCCTGGTTGAACGTAATTAGATTTTCAAAATGTTTATCTCGGTCAGATATCATACACTGTTGGTAAATGTTGATGGCTGCTTTACATGTGACCCATCGAACACGCACATACACCAGAGACCTTAATTAAACACACCCTGTATTTTTGCAATAGGTTTTCAACAGGTACATAAAACTTCTCGTGGTTACCACGATGAAACAAAACATGAATTTTTACTGACCCGTATGATCCATTACCTCATAATAAACGACAAAATGATTGGAATGCATGTTGATTTTATTATGATAATTGCTCATTTAAACACAAACCACCACCACCCCACCCCCCCCAAGCCACTGATTTTCATACAAAATCCATGTCTGTGCAAGTAAGGCCCTGGAATGTTTAATGCTGGATTAATTGGTGAATGAGAACATTCAAGGTCAATACAGAGTGTAACGTCCATGCGACTGTATATGACAGCCAGTACTCTCCTCCTCATACCCCCTGTCAGCCTCCTGATCCTCCGAAGGGGCAGTCTACGCCATTCCTCGCGTAAAGCAGGGCCAGGTTCTGTACAAGAAATCCCCTTGTTGCACACGTCATGTCCCAGATATGCTCCAAAGGGTTAAGATCGGGCCTCATTCAGTCGTGAGATATGTCAGGGGGTGCTTAATTAAGTTCTTTGTGTATAGTAAATAATGTGAGTGCGATAGGTTCGGAAGCGAGTTCAGAAGGATCTCAGAATATTATGCAGTAAAGGCCGGTACTACTGGCAAAAAGGATAGGTTGAGCACCGACCTGACAATTGACCCGTATTAGCATATATGACTGCCGCCCACTCGCGCTTGCCATTGTTAGTGAAGGGGCCCCATGTTGTCCGCGATCAAGTGTAGTGCGACTTGTAGTCTGTCTCACAGTCCCTGAACCACATTAATTTCCCTACTGCCAAGCCCTCTCTGCCGTGCTAAAGCCCTAAATGAAGTAAGTCTAGATTTCCTCAGGTTCAGGATCTCTGGTCTCCCTGGGGCTCCTTTTCAATATAAATGGGCTTGTTTGTTACTATCAAAATTATATATATTCAGAGACTAAGCCTTAGTCTATGCGACTTGCTACACCGACGTGAGAGTCTTGTGAGCAAGGCGTGTGCAGCTGCGCGTGGAATCAATTTCATCGTCATGTAATGCACGTGCACTAGCCTACATCTGCTCTACCTTTCACAACCTGAGGTTTGCTCATTGCCGCGCACCGCCTACTTCAAGTAAACGCGTGTCCAACTTATCCTTGTTTGCCAGTAAGAATTTGATTTGTAGGTGGAGACGCAGTGGGGAAATAGAATGAGGAAGGATAACAATATACTGATGAACAACTTCTATATTGCTGTGAGAGTGACGTTTGTGAGTAGGTTCTAACACCGTTATCAAGATTGCCACGTCTCCACGAAGACGACGGATAACTTCTTTGAGAGGCATTTAGAAGTTGGAGCAATAAAGAGGTTGCATGTTCATCCACATATTGTTATCCTTCCTTACTGCTCCAACTTCTAAATGCCTCTCAAAGGAGGGAAATAAAATGATTGAAGTTTAAACATCCAGTAATAGCCCTATGGTGTCTTACGGAAGCGTCCTAGTGCCATAGTCAGAATATTGACGCTTCCGTAGTGTCTAACGCTCAGTTTTGGTGTAAAACAAAATTGGCATCACATTGCCTGTGTACGGGTTCATTTGTTATATGTGCGGGATTCATGTTGATTGATGAGTAAACTGTACAATAATGTACGGGAAATAGATAGGTACACCAAGGTTAGAGTACAATTCTCCGTGTGTATTGGCTGACTGAAATATTTTTGTTTTGTTTGTTGTTTAACGCCACACGCAACAATATTGCAACTGTATGGTCCGTAATTAATCGAGTCTGGAACAGATACTAGTAATCCAGTGATCAGCATCTGTGTAATTACATAATGTGACAGAGACCGAACTCGGGCCATAAATCAATGCGTTTTGTTTATGGTGTATAGCCTGATTGGTGTTAAGTTCAAATTGCATGTGGTCAGTGATCGCAGTTGTGTATTGAATATTGTCATTAGCAGACAGGCAGGCAGACACACAGGTGTCAATAAAACAAGACATTGAGTTTTGTCTTTGACAACGACCAATCTATATCACAGTTAGAAATTCTGTCAACGCTAAATAATGGCTATAATACGCTATAATATGGCAATGGCTACATGTATTTATTGAATAAGATGTACTTCCTACATATGGCAACATTTTGTTTCATGTTTGTATTGAATTCTGAACCTCCATATTGTCAAGCATACTGTATACAGCGTATTATTAATTTATCAGAGGCGGATACAGCTATTAGAGAAAGGCGGGGTGCACACTATTGAGAAAGGAGGGGTGCACACTTATTTTCACGAGAGTTTCAATGGTCATTTAATAAACTTTCAGGACAAGGGGGGGGGGGGGTACGCACCCTTGCACCATGCACACACACACACACGGATCCGCCTATGATTTATAAAGTATTTCGTAGTTTTGAAAGGGGACATAATATTTCTGTGCCCTAGACATGTCGTATGTTGATCATAGACTTGCCCCAAGTCTCTAATGTAATAATTAACAGTTTAAATGATACTTTCTAACAAGTATACATATTCCTCAAACAGACTGGCGGCTGTCCACTAATCTAGACGTGTCTCTTTAAAGGTTACTGCAGTAGAAGTAAACATCCATTGGTTTAGCATATTCGGTACAGCCTTGGACTGACTGACTGAGTTTGGTTTTACGCCGTAGCAATATTCCAGTAATAACGGCGGGGACACCAGAAATGGGCTTCACACATTGTACCCATGGGGATTCGAACCCGGTTCGGCGTGACGAGCCAACGCTAACCCTTAGGCTTGATACAGCCTTGTAGCAAGACTATGTTGATCAGTAAGTGTTCATATACAAGCAGTTAGTTCCATTCATTTACAAACGCCATTAATGTTGGTGTATCTGCGACGCAGGTATCTGATACCCCAATCAGATCATACTGATTACCCAAACCCAATTATATTGTTGAACGTGACTATGCCCTCATATTAAGGTCGTACATATCCATCCCTTATACATACATGAGATAAGAGTTATCGCCCTTCTCCCTTTCGGCCAATCACATTGCTTGTTACATATGCCATACTCAAAGTCTAACTCCAATCATTAGCGGTGATACGAATTTCAAACCAGGGCTGCCATTCTTTTCAGACAAGGGGATATTTACAGTATTTCTTCTTCAAGTCGTGTTAAGGTAAAATGTGAAAACGTTTTACAATACATTTACTATGACGCAATGTCATCTTCTGTTTGGCTAATCAGTTTTCACTTCGAACGGATGTATGTTTCAGAAAGATTGGTGAAACTTCCCTGAACATGATGCAAAATATTTTGATTTTTCGGAACTAAGGTCTGCTACTGTGAATCGTACGAATCATTTGATGGTGATCACAGCCGTCAAATATTAAGTGACGGTCATGTTTACTGAATATTATATAATATTCACATCTCGGCCTAGGGATTACCTATGGCAAAGTCTCAACCTTTGTAAGCAAAAACGACACCTCGTCACGTTGATTCTCATTTTCAGCATATTTCAATACATTTCTATATTGTCATAGTTCCTATCCCCATCCCAAATAATATTTATAAAGGGTACTAGAATTATTAACAAAACCTAACACAACAATTAGATCTACCCCATCCCAAATAACTTTTAGCCCCAAAATTAAATATGGGTAGCCTAGTGGTTAAAGCGTTGGCTATTACGCCGAAGGCCGGGTTCGATTCCCCACATGGGCACAATGTGTTAGCTACTACTAGAGTCCCTCACGTGATATTGCTGGAAAATTGCTAAAAGCGCGAAAAGCCTAAAACTCAGTCAGTCAGACATTGTATTTACAATATAAAGGGTCGAACCACGCTGCGTTACCTCTGTTAATCTCTTACAAAAAAATATGGGGGAAAGGAAGGAACTCTTTCCGCTACTGAGAATCTGACTTCAAATAATTGTTTCACATTATTTTCATTCAAGACTTTTTTGTTAGAATAATAGGTTAATATAGGTTGAGGAACCACAAAATATGCTGGAAAAATGTAGTTCGGGAGAAGGAATAATGACTGCAATAGTATGGTTTAATAATGATTAAACCTCGAAATTGAACGTAAAAAAAAAACGTTAAAAATTGCACATCAACAAAGAAATATTACTAGAAAATAGAGGCTCCTTGCTGGAATGTGGCAACCTCATCAGGGACACTTTTCACAGTACATTTTCCCTTATCTTCAGAAACTAAAAATGGACATTTACTTATGATAACACTTTTTTCACTTGTGTATGTGTAAAGCACAGCAAAATTCTTCTAAATACTTGGTGATTAGCACGTGTGCTTTAATGGCATGGTCATTTCTTGTAGACTCCAGACATTAGCAGTGCTCTCCTTTCTCTACTGACGAGTTCTTAAAAGTTGCTAAATCTTGGATGAAATCCAGTAGTAAGAACTGTCCCTGTTAGTTCTGGTACCAAAACTTTAACTTCTTGTGAAACCAGGTGTGAACATAAAGAACCAATCCTGTTTTTGTTCCAGTGAAGGGAGTATGGAAGCTAAGCGGGTTCTGCAGCCTGTGAACTCCAACCAGTCCACAGAGGGTGCTGAGGGGCCCATGAAGAAGACGGGTGATATGACAGATGGAGTGGAAGGGGACAGTTTCAAGTAATTACAGTTACCGACTTGCCTTAGTCTGGCCCCGATTTGTTGAAACAATCTTAAGTCTGAGTTTTGACTTAATTTAGAGTTTTTACTCAAATTTGAGAAAACGCAGGAAAATGCATTTCCCAAAATGAATTGGAATCGATATTAAACTCAGACATAGTAGACAATTTGAGTCTGATGGATAGATTACTTAAGTTGTTTGGGCTTTTTTACTTTAAAAATGCAGTTGAGTTAAAAATTCAGCTGTTTCAAATTGTCAAACTCAGTTTGAAATTTGAGTAAAAATTTGTTTGTTTTGAGAAATCAGGGCCTTGTTTACTAGTCTGAGCATGCTAAGTGGTCCATAGTAAATCATGAAATAATCAATCAAGTAACTGGATAAAAGATTGATTTGATTACTCATGAGGATGATTGTCAGACATTTTGTTTAATGATATGCTGTAAACCATGAACTTAACACAACAATGCTAGGCCCCTGATCGTTGATAAAGTGACACCTTTTTGTCTGCAGTCTCTTGTTACCAAATGTGTAAAGCAGATTTGGAGAAACCATTCCATCCATCCATTCATCCAAGCACACATGCACAGTTAACAATAACATGTAATTGAGTTCCAGATTTATTTGGGATGATGGGGTAGCCAAGTGGTTAAAGCATTCGCTTATGACGAAGACCCAGGTTTGATCCCCACATGGGTACAATATGAGAAGCCCATTTCTGGTGTTCCCTATTGTGATATTGCTGGAATATTGCTGAAAGCAGCGTAAAACCATACTCACTCCCTCGTGATTTAGTTTCTCTAGCCAAGTACAGAGGTCAAGTGTGTTCAATTTGTTTACACAATGCACTGACCAGTTATGACAGTTGCCAACTGTTTATTACGACATCTTTGTTCTTGGTAACTAGTCAAATAAACCTATTACAAACCAACCACTGCCCATCCACATTGTAAATGTCAGGTTCCACTTTAAACAAGTTGACACTGGGTGCTGATTTAGGTGTAAGAAAGTTGACAATGGCTCAGCAACACAGCCTTCAACACAACTGGCATGAGCATGGTTATAGTTTGGTGTTTGTTTTTCAGGAGGAAATGGTCACTTGAAGACTTTGATATAGGCAAGCCACTGGGCAAGGGCAAGTTTGGCAATGTTTATCTTGCCAGAGAGAAGAAAAGCAAATATATTGTGGCACTAAAAGTAAGTAATGATAAGTTGTGTGTACTTGTGGATGTTTGCAAAATAGTGTATTTTTTTGTTTCACTGTATGCAACACTATTCTCCTATGGATGTTTAGATGTGTCTTTTGAAATTATAGTGTCAACTCTAATAATACATTTGATCCAACAGCAAATTCGGTAAATATCATTTGACCAAGGCAGGAAAAAGAATAGTTGTAATTTTGAAACTTTGTTCCCTTTGACATTAATAATATCCTTCTCATTTCTAAATATGTAAATTATTCTGTGAATCATACTGTACATCATTTTTAATTCAGTGTAAAATGGCTCTAGATGTCAGTACCAAACACTCCACAGTGTTCTAGGTGCAGGTCAATACTAGGAAAGCTCTGCTTATTGGTTCATATGGAATTGTGAACATGTTCTGAGTGAAAACCATGAATGTTTCTTAAAAAAAGTGTGTTTGGGATAAGAATATGCATGGGAAGTATCAGTTCATATTCAGTTTTCTTTTGATATCGCCTTGAGACTATTGGCATCACTTGTAAGAACTTGTAACTGGTAACTGTTGATATTATTATTATTATCATCTAATTCCACCACAGGGTTTCTGATAGTCCAAGAATAGCTAAATTCAGACTTTTGCTTATGGACAGTAGCAGATAATGTTGTGGACTTTAAAAAACATGGAAACTTCACAATTTTTAAACTTATCCTATCTCACGACTTGCACCTCTCTCTCTTGCTTTGACTTTTAGTGGATAGACTGTAAACTTTTTTCCATAGGCCTCCTTGTCCATTCGCCCGTGCACTCCATGCTGCTCTCCTTAATTAGCTTCCTAGTTCCTAATAAAGCTTGCAGCATGCTCCACTAATTGCCCACGTGACTACCTTGAATGATCATTCTCTTTCTTGTCGCATGACTGTGTGGACGTGCTGTATATTAGGGACATTATTTCACCCTAACATCATGGGGAAAACTGATAATCAGTCAAGGAAAAGGAAGTTTGTGCTCAATGCAAGACGAATTATTTGTCCCTCGACCCTCACACGTTTTGCAGTGACTGTATTGGACAATGTAACTGGAACAAACGATGTGGCAAGTGTAATTCACTAAAAGATGAGGATTTTAAGGCCTACCTTCGTGTTTGCTTCCGGAGAATCACCGATAGGGACAGGAAATTAACAGAATCTGATCCCACTCCCGCCAAGAGTATCAAGTTACAGCGACAGAAAATCGTACCTTCACGCAAGAGGGCGACGTCTGTGGTTCAAGAGGATTTTATGGACACTTCATCAGATTCTTACTTATCTGAGGACGCTCGCACCTATTACATACGCATCAATCACCTCCTTCCATAGCGCCAGATCACTCGGGTGGTTGTGATCGACAATTCTTCTTTGCCTGTCCCATCTACACTACCAGGGGACCTTAGATCGACACTATCATCATCCAGATCATGGGTACATATCCCCTTGACTGTCTCAGTTTGTTTGGAGCCTGGCCAACCGCGTTCAACCAGCCAACTGTCTCCCCACAGTTCATTGAACCGGACGGAGCTGGCTACAACAGCGTCGCCGGGGGACGTTCATCATGAATCAACACTTCAGGTTTCATCACCTAACGCCGATCCAGATCGCCACATCATTCTAGATCACCTTCACGATCCAGATCACCATCACAAGCCCGATCTAGATCACAGTGCCGATCAACATCACCGGATCGATCACGATCCAGAGCACAACTACGATCCACATGACCTGATCAATCCAGATCACCTAACCGATCCAGATCACCAAACGGGTCCAGATCACAACATCAGATCACCTAGTAGATCATTGGACCGATCCAGATCACCTAATCGGACTGATCCAGATCACCTGATCAGACCGAATGGATCCAGATCACAACATCAAGTAGATAGCCAGACCGATCCAGATCACCTAACCAATCCATATCACCAAATCAAACCAGATCACCTGTTCGATCGAGATCACCTTATAGATCCAGATCACGCATCACAGTTTCCAGTTAGTGCATCGAATTGATCCAGATCACTTTACAAATCCAGATCATCTTACCAACCCAGGTCACCTATAATGATCTAGATCACCTTACAGAGCCATTGACCAAACAGGATCACAGTACAGATCCACATCTCATGGCCGATCCTATTCAGATGGTCGAACCAGAGCTCCAATCAGAACCAGATCACCAACTAAAACTACAGCCACCCAGACTAGTTCTTCATATCATACCGGATCACCTAGCCATACTAGGGAATCCAGATCACCAGCTTACCAACCTACTTCCGGTACTTACCACGCCGAGATCTCGATACAGTTCCTCTGACCTACATCCAGGTGATCATTGCTCTGATACCACTAATAGGCCTACAGTCTCACGATGTTGGTCGCACCCTCTGGCCAGCAAGAAGTTGGTTTGTCAACCTAAGAAGCCAGGCAGAGCCAAACCCAGTACCGCTTCCCAACTGGGACGACCACTACTTCTTCACCCTCACTGAACTGCGCCACGGGTCACTTCAGACCCTCAATCTACACGCTGGCGATCTTCAGAGGTCTCTCATAGCTAAGGGCTACTCTCACCCAGCAGCCACAGCTATCACTTCAGCGCATCATATTTCTCAATCGCTCCTTGTAATGACAACAAGTGGAAGAAGTTTGAAGACTATTGCAAGTTTAGGGGAATTGCATCTCCAACTTCCACCTCGACTCAGGTCGCTGCTGAGTTTCTCCAGCATCTCCACACTACTTAGAAACTCAAGGGTACTACGCTAGCTACCAACTCAGTTTTGGCTACCACCACGGGCACTTAAGATTTCCACTGTTCCCGAAGTTGCAGAGTCTACTACGCTCCTATAGACTCTCTCTGACCAGTCCAGAAAGTTCAGACCTCCGCCTGGGATCTGTCCGCCGCCCTTCATCATATATGATTTCTACAGATTATGAACCTTTAGAAGACAAGGACTTCAACAAGTGACATTCAAGACATTCTTCCTGGTAGCTTTGGCTACCGCTGCACGTGATATCTGAACTGCATGCTTGATGTCATCGGGTGCGGTTCGAGTGGAAGAAGCATGGCAAGGCTTTCCTGGGTCTCCGCTGGGACTTCATTGCTAAAACCAACTGCCAGGGCAACCGCGACCGGATGTTTACCATCTTCCCGTTGTCCACCATCCTTGGGCCTGATGATAATGAAGATTTGACACTCTGCCCTGTTAGGGCTCTACACGCTACTTTGCTGCCTCCTCGAGGATCGCCTACGGCTACCATTGTCGGACGCTTCATGAACTGAGAGGTTTCCCAGACCACATTGGCCTTCTGGATGCGTGCCACGCGATCTTGCAAGCCTACACCTCTGCAGGGTTGCCTCCCTCCAGCCGCCTAATCCTCATGAGACTCGCGGCACTAGCCTTGACGATGGCCCTCCATAGCAACTGCTCCTTGACCGCTATCATGGAAGGTTGCTTCTGGCGCTCTGATACAGTCTTCTCTTCTCATTACCTGCGAGACCTGTCTGTTACGGATGTCCAGGGACTACACCAGTTCGCGACCTCTTGTACTGGCTCAGCAGCTTACATCGACCCAACAACGCAGATGAGGGACGGTTCCGTGATTTGCGCATACTACTTCCTTTGTATATAGTGAATAAAAGGTGAACTGGATCTCAACCTTTTGTTCTCAATATATGGGTTTAAGAACTACTTCACTTGGCCTCCATACCAAGGCAGATCGGAATACGGCCACCTAGCGTGGTCTCTACGGACCCGGTGAGGCACAATCAGTATGACGATGCAGAGGTGTTCGACATTCACGCTTACTGACCTCTAAACCTCGGAGCAATTACGCCAGTGAAGTGTGACACTCCAATTCCAATGGATTTTTTATGCTCTGCCTCCAACTTTGCCGCCCATCCTTTGACTAAGCTTAGGCAAAGGAGTGAGGGTCAATTTGATGCTGCCCGAACTGAACTAAACCTTGGAGTTTCTGAGTTGTGTTTCTCTTTCCCGCCGGGTCGGGTGTCTGTGGGGCCTTCTTGAAGCAGGGGCTGGCCCGATTCTAGTCGCAAGACTTTAATTACGGGGTACCTTGTAAATCGCGTGGCAGGCTTACTTGCCGAAGTTGGCGCCCCTTGTCTTGTACAAGGTTGCGGCCGAACACCACATTGCCTGGAGCATCCATCTCCCTGGGAGTCGTTGTGCTTAGTAAGCCAAGGGGTTCCGAGAACCCACTACAAGCATAGGAGTTGCTTGCATGAGTAACAGGCCTCCCTTGTACATCGCTATCTACGGTTGTCATCAGTCCACACAGCTCCAAGACCAGCTGTTTGCACTGTCCAGACAGAAGGGTAATCTGCGCCCGCCGTCCAACTGTGGGATAAGTGCAAGTCGGAGATAGGATAAGTTTTAAAAGTAATTTTAATATAAATCGTATATGGATATACTTATCCCGCCTCCCGACTACTCAACCCGGCCTACAACACTGGCTCAAGATGAGAACGATCATTCAAGGTAGTCACATGGGCAATTAGTGCAGCATGCTGCAAGCTTTATTAGGAACTAGGAAGCTAATTAAGGAGAGCAGCATGGAGTGCACGGGAGAATGGACAAGGAGGCCTATGGAAAAAAGTTTACAGTCGTTCCACTAAAAGTCAAAGCAAGAGAGAGAGGTGCAAGTCGTGCGATAGGATAAGTATATAAATAAACAATTTATATTAAAATTTCCAAATTTCTTTTAAATGACGACGACCACTTTGGTCTAGTGGATAGAAAGTCTGCCCTGAAAGCAGAAGATTGGTGGTTCGATCCCTGTCCGTGTCATACCACATGGCATGAAATGATGTCACTTGTTGTTACTTTACAGTGCTCGACTTTAAGGAGATAAAATGACTGTTTGGTTCCGAGTCAGTACATTCATTTGAGTGTGGTATCCATTTTAGCATACATAAAACCAGCTTTTGTCCAGATCAGTACAAGCAGCCATACACTCACGTGTGTTCACATAGCTATAAGTGCAGTGATCTTAAACCCCATTTCTCCTCACCTTTTTCATATGTTCTTACTCAAAGTACCAATAGTACCATGGTTCAGAAGAAGAGTCCATCAAAACATATGTTGATGTGCTATTTTTGCCCACTGGTAGTAATGCTGCATGTTTGTCATTCAGGTGTTGTTCAAGTCCCAGTTGCAGAAAGCTCAGGTGGAACATCAGCTGCGCCGTGAGATCGAGATTCAGTCACATCTCAGGTAGGGTCACCAGGGATGATAAGTGTACATGGTTTACTACCACCACATGTGTCAGGCTTGGATAGTTTTGTCAGTTGTAATTTATACCTGTCAGCAACTCACATGTGTGGATTCTTACTGTTATTTGGGTTTAACCATGACCTGCAAAACCCGTGGGTCCACATGACCCTCAGTTGTTAATTTAAGAGTCCTTAGAGGAAAAAAGAAAGGGTCCCGTAAAGTATTGACATTGTGTAGAATACTGTAAAATGTTAATAATTACTTTAATAACAGGAACTTGTTTCTTGATAAGAATTTGGTATAATGATTACTATTGTGCTTCCCTTTGGATGTATTGTATTATTTTTCTGCCTCCAATCTGTACATTTGTTTGTACAGGATGCACATTTCTGCATCATTGCTTACAATAGTGACCACTGAATTGCCAGGTCCAGATTTGATTTATCTTGATATTATTGTTTGGAATTATGCTGAGTGTGAAGTTAAACAACAAACAAATTGAAAGTACTAAAATCTATTACTGGGCCTAGATTTTCAAAGCTCTCTTATTGCTAAGATAGTCGTAAGTCAGTGTTAATCAATAATGTATGGCGCTTACGACTATCTTAGCGTTAAGAGAGCTTCGAAAATTTAGGCCCAGTGCAGTAAGCTGGCATTCATTCACTTCCTATCTGGTCTTCCCAGACACCCTCACATCCTGCGTCTGTATGGCTACTTCCATGACAAGACCCGGGTCTACCTCATCCTGGAGTACGTCCCACGGGGGGAGCTGTACAAGGAATTACAGAGGGCCAAGAGATTTGATGAACAGCGATCAGCCACTGTGAGTAACACTGCAGTTGCACCAATCACCCACATTAGTTGGCAAAAATATGGGCACTACATCAGGACCCGTGAAGAACCGGGTTAGAATTGATCTTCAGCAACCCATACATGTCATAAGAGGTGACTAATGGGATCGGGTTGTCAGACTCACTGTCTTGGTTGACACATGTCATCGTATCTCAATTGCGTAGGTCGATGCTCATGCTGTTGATCACTGGGTTGTCTGGTCCAGACTTGATTATTTACAGACTGCCACCATATAGCTGGAATACTGCTGAGCACGACTTAAATAACAAACCAACCAATCAACCAACCAACCAAGCAGGGGGTTAGCAGTTAGAATATTACACGTTCGAATATTACAGTGTATTGCATGTTACTGGCAATGAACCCACTTAAGCCTGCTGAGCTTTTTCATATTCTTGTCTGTCTTGAGGTATGGTCGAGAGGTTGTTTGACCTATGTCTGTAGAAAAATTCAAAAACTATTTCTTGTAATAGTAATGAACAATTAAGTTCATTAATAGAAATTCGAGATAACGATTGACTTTTCATTTTATAGGTGTGAACTTCCAAGTTTGAGAAAGTTAATTCTTGATTTTAAACACAAAGGCCATATACTCACTATTGTGATTATTATGCTTGTTTCAGTATATCGGCCAACTGGCCAATGCTCTCATCTACTGTCACAGTCGTAAAGTGATCCATCGTGACATCAAACCTGAAAATCTCCTGCTGGGCCTCAGGGGAGACCTGAAGATTGCTGACTTTGGCTGGTCTGTGCATGCCCCATCCTCGAGGTAATGTTACTGTTGCCCCACCCTCCATGTAATGTTACTATGACCCCATCCTCCAGATAATGTTACCCTGGCCCCATCCAGGTAATATTACCCTGACCCCATCCTACAGGTAATCCTACCCTAACTCCATCCTCCAGGTAATGTTACCCTGACCCAATCCTCCAGGTAATGTTACCATGACTCCATCCTCCATGTAATGTTACCCTGACCCCATCCTACAGGTAATCCTACCCTAACTCCATCCTCCAGGTAATGTTACCATGACCCCATCCTCCAGGTGTTACCATGACTCCATCGTCCAGGTAATGTTACCCTGACCCCATCCTACAGGTAATGTTACCATGACTCCATCCTCCAGGTAATGTTACCCTGACCCCATTCTACAGGTAACCCTACCCTAACTCCATCTTCCAGGTAATGTTGCCATGACCCCATCCTCCAGGTAATGTTACCAAGACTCCATCCTCCAGGTAACGTTACCAGGACCCCATCCTCCAGGTAATGTTACCAGGACCCCATCCCCCATCCTCCATGTAACATTACCATGACTCCATCCTCCATGTAACATTTCCATGACCCCATCCTCAATCCTCCAGGGAACATTACCATGACCCCATCCTCCATGTAACATTACCATGACCCCATCCTCCATCTTCCAGGTAATATTACCATGACTCCATCCTCCAGGTAATATTACCATGACCCCCATCCTCAATCCTAGTGATATTTCTAGCATGTGATATGCTCAATGGTATAAGGATGCTACTTTATGATGGTATTTATCATGTTCATGGTGCTGAAGTGTAACTAGTATGGTAATGTTCTTCAGGCGGACCACACTATGCGGCACTCTTGACTACCTTCCACCAGAGATGGTGGAGGGTCGGATGCATGATGAGAAGGTGGACTTATGGAGTCTTGGAGTGCTCTGCTATGAGTTCCTGGTGGGCAAGCCACCTTTTGAGGCTGAGGGACACACAGAGACATATCGAAGAATTACTAAAGTTGATCTCCAGTTCCCAGACTATATGTCAGCAGGAGCCAGGGATTTGATAGCAAAGGTGAGTGAATGTGTAGTTTGATTGCTTTGAGTTTTGATCTGATGGATTTTATCCAGATATATTTTTGTTTTTAAGTTATGTTAATCAGTCATATATAGACAAATTGAGGAATAGAGGATGGAGGTAAGTATTAACAGTTTGACAATTGTAAGTTGTATCTCCTATTTGTTCTTCTGTTTTAGTATTGCAGTTAGAGCTGCCCTAATAGTTTATAAATGGGGCTGTTACGTCACTGTTTTGTGTTGTGGAGCTGATCTCATGAACAATTACCCAAGTACGAGTAAAGCGAGACCAGTTTCAACTACCAAATTCAGTGTAGACATCCTCTGCCAAACTGCCAAGTAATTAGGTATCATAAGGTCATGGTCATCTGCAATTTTTAGGAGTTTGTTCACTAAAAATGTTAGTCTTTATGACTTATAATACAAATGTAGCTTTATGTTGTAACTCTTGTATTGAATTCTAGCACGACATTGTGTGATACTCGATTCTGATTGGCTGAGAGCTCATCAAAACCGTACTTAAATGGCAGTTTAAGACCGTTAATTAAAGTGACCGATTCACCGCGTATGAATACAACGAACTCGTTGACCCTATTGTTTGTAAACAAACATGTCGGACATCGGCAATTTCTATCTCGGCAGCATCTTTGGTGTTTTTTTAAGTAAAAAGCGAATGGTTTGAAGAAGAATTTCTTGACCCTAATCCAAGTGAAGAAACTACGAAGCTGGAAAATCCGTCAGCAGTGCAAAAGCGGCAGTATATTAAAACCGGGTCCAGATCTACGTGTGTTGACGTCGACAACACACGTCGGCCCACACATCCTAACCTGACCGCTTCTGTCCGGGTCGTAATGCCCAGTCCTTCCACTGTCCATGTATCCCACATAAAACGTGGCATGTCAGGTCTTTTCCAAATTGGGAATAGTAGGGTGGTTATCAACAATTATTTCCATGAATAAAGTTAGCGGCGACTAAACTTAGCGAGTTCACGGCTTGAATTTGGGCGAGTCGATTGTCATACAGTAGGGGAGATCAATAATTCGCTTGAGAAAAATCAAATAATTGTACTTGCTCACAGTATAAACTGTATCTTTTTTAAATTTATGTATGCTACCTGTTACAAATACAAGCATACTTGTTCCTGAAATATAGCATTTATGTTGTTGAAAATGTCTTATTTTGTTCATTACACAACCCGTCCCTCAACGGGACGATTCCAAGCGATTTCCAGGAAAAAAGGCCCCTTCGCGCCTTGTGTTCTTGCACGCTAAACAGTTCAGTTTTAAAATGCTTATCAGTCGTGCTAGAATGAAGATACGTTCGATGCTTAAATTACATTTAGCGGTCTTAAATCAACGATAAAGGACCGCAAAATTGAAAACAAAGTAGTTTTATCTTCTAAATATACTAACAGCTGACATGAAGGTGATGTCATTTTCGAAAACAGGGACTAACTGTTCTACTTTGTTGAAAAAACGATAAGCTATGACTGATAACACTATTTCTGCTTCAGCTGCTCCGACACAATCCAGCCAATCGGCTGCCTCTGGGTGAAGTGATGAACCATGCCTGGATCAAACAAAATGCAACCATGCCTCAGACCCCCTCATCTTCGTCATCATCATCAACAGCATCAACAACCCAGTCCTGATCACATTCCTCTCTAGACTGCAGTGTATAGCAGCCACCTGCTCATGTACCACACCCAGCCTTATGTAGATACAACCACACCAGCCGTGGAACTATGCATCTCAGCTGACTGATCAAGTTGAGACTGTGACAGTGATTGACAGGCTGGGGGCGTGGCCACATATCTGTACAAATCCACCTTTTGATGTGGATTACTCTGGGACAATCAAGATGTGCCAGTCTCATAATCTGAGATAGCCAGGATGAATTGTTGCACTTTAGCTAGGAATGTGATACTGGTCAATACTTGCTTAAGCTGTCTTATATTTTACAGAATTATTATTTTCCTAATCCTTTGTTGTACATGTGATAATGTTCCTGGTTACTGAACTCATTTGCATATCTAAGTAGCTTTCTAATCGATCTAAGAACATTCAGATATTACAAGCAGGAACATTTTCTCAAACATTTAGTGCAGTGCACTAATCAGGATGACGTAAAACTTTGTACATATATAATCATGTCATGAGGGACAGTGCAGCCCCACTTCAGACTTCGACATGTGCATCACCACACTGCAATAAGTTTGTATATACATGATGTGCATGCATAACAGAAGTCCCTTTGAAGAGATTCCTGAGACAATTATATTATGATGTTTATTATGTGTAGGAGACATTTTTTCACCCATGTTTGCAAGTAGTTTCAAATGTAATCTTTTGTACACATGTATTCATTTGGCAGTCAACACAAAACATCCTTGATCGAGGGTGGAAGTCTTATTCCCATAATCTTAAACACGTTTGTGTATGTTGGCCCATAGAATATTGTCACAGGGTAAAATATGAAGATGTATTTCTGTCTGTTCCTATCTGTCTTCATGCTGTACAATCCTCCTATCTTCAACCCTGTGATGTTTGCTGTCTGTGGCAAACAAATGGGCAATGACATTTTATTTCTGTGTATGGATCTCATGTAGCCATCAAATATATATCAAAAGAAACATTTGTTAAAAAATATGCAAAAAAATATGACTTTGTGATTAAATTATTTCCCTTTGTTTTGACTTGTGTTATTATTGTTGAAATGGAGAATATATAAGCTCACTGCAAACATTTTCTACTCAAACATTGGGTGATTGCAACCATCATAACTGTCACTGACTTAAAGCTAATCACTGGAAATCAGCATAAGAAGTCATAATGCCCACTGAAGACCAGTGGCCTAGTGGCCTTAACTTTACACAGACGCCATCCTAAATTAGAGATTGACCCACCACAGACATCATGTTTATTTACTTAACTAAAGTGCCAACAAAATATTCAAGTTTTCACACAAACACTGTCTCCTACAATTTAGCACTTCAGAAGAATGGGTGATCAGGTAAGTAGCACTAGGTTTAGCATATTAACTTTTTCATCTCATGCTACACGGCCTTATGTACTGCTGGGTGGACAGAAGAATTAAACAGGCCCTTCCCAAACAGGCAGCACAGATGTGCTTCCATGTAGTGCAGGGTCCCAGGACCTTAAAACTAAGGTCACCCTACCAAATATTCTTTGATCTGTGCTCCGCAACCATGTTATAATTGTTTAAAAACCTGAGTACAGCCTGCAAACTGTCTTAAAACAAGTGTTTGCTACTAACACGGCAATGGCCCCACCGCTAAAGGAGAATGAAATATGGTCACAAAGATGATTACCTTTTGTGTAATGTAGTTTTTAGTCATTGTCACTTCTCAATCTTCTGTTCGAGATATTTCAGGAATATAGTAGGTTTGAATGTACAGACACAGATCAACTGTCAGTATCAGTGAGTGTTAGGGCTAGGACTGGCCAAAGTTTCTACCGTGGTACCCCAACCTCTATTACCCTACCCTGATACCTGTCACATTAATTGGGGGGGGGACAACAAAAAACACTTTCTGCAAGTTACAATGGCAGGAACCTAACTCGACCTTGTAAGAAGGGTCTGCACTCAAAGCTTTCTGGCTACCATTGTACAGAACAACCTTTACTAGATTAACCAAAACAAAAAGTTAGTCTGTTGCACATAGCTAACTGATCAGCCTTAGGTTGAGATCTTCAGTGCCGGAGACTCAATTATGGACAGTACATAGTTACAATTGTGAATTATCTCCCTTGTTCACATCAGCAAACGACTAATTTTATCACTAGTCCAACCTGGCAGAGGCATCAAACTGCACAAAAAAGGAATTGGCTGTTGAACTTTACAAAACTGACTTTTTGGCGATGAGGTCAACGTCATAGCAACATCTTGTTTGGTGTTATGGCCAAAGAAAACGACCCAAACTAAAATGAAGTGAGTGAGTTTACTTTACACTGCTGTAAGCAATATTCCAGTAATATCACAGCGGGAGACATCAAAAAATGGGCTTCACACAATGTGTCCATGTGGGGAATCGAACCTGGGCCTTGGCATGACAAGCAACCGCTTTAACCACTAGGCTACCACCAGTGTATGAAATAAGCCCAAAATCCAGCCAGACATCAGGGCTGGCTACTTCAAGATGTTACCAGCCCAAAATGGATAATAATTCAAAATGTTACCAGCCCAAATATGGTGAATTTACTCAGATGTATGGAACATCTAAAAATTGTAACAGACCATCAGGCTGGCTAGCTGTAAATTTAGACTGTCCATCAGAAATCTAGACAGTCTCGGGCGGTCGGACAGGCCTTATTTCATACACTGCTACCACCAAAGGAAGGAGTGGGAGTACATTTGTATTGCAAGGACAAAAACGTGCAGATTTGATTTGGGAAACAGTTTTATTGCAACAGGTTGACACACAAATACATTAATTGCAACAACTGACAATGTTTCACGAGTTGTGTATGCCAAATGCTACAGGATTTGCGGGAGCCAAGCTACTGTAACCAACCTGCTGAATCTGGATGGATATATACACCTAAGCATTGGTCAATGATATGATTATTTACACATGCAGAAAAAATGGTAACTGGGGCTGTAATGAGTCACCGGATTTTTTTAATGAATTCGAATGTGTTACAACATGTTTGATATTTCCTGAAGTCGTGACAATGTGTAAAGTAGCAAGTCGGTATGACCATGAACTGTGGTATGTCATGTATCTCACAAAGGATACATGTTGCGTTACACTCGGATATGTGCTGTACCACAACAGATACATGTTCCATCAGAAAATGAATTATTACAGCCCCATGTTTTACTGAAATTTGGTCTGAGCACTAAAACTGTAAAACATGATCCTTTACAAGACATAAAAGTGGTCCGCAAGATACAGACATATAAGAAGGCTAATATAACCTGTAGGTGATTCTACCAATGAAATGATGTGTAGCGCTACTGACATCAACATACAAGTTGGTTGATATACAATCTACTAATATCATAATATTTTATGCTTCAAATTTAATCTTAAAGCTACTAAAATGGATACAAGTGTCACATAACAATGTTATTTCCACCAATCACTGACTGCTACTCATGAGTGATATTTACTGGTTTCTGTTTCATTACAAATGTACAATCACATCAGAATTTATTTTTTTTACAGAGCTTTTTTGTCAATATTGAAACATAATGTAATGGCCAAGCTCCAGAACGACAAAAGTCAGAGGGTACATAACTAACATGTATATGTCCCAGGAAGTACTGGTGCTCACTGTTATGTGTCCTCTGAATACAAAAGGTGACTTTCAAAACAATCATTTTCCTCCAGTTCAATCATCTCTTTCATTTAAATCAAATCATCTCGGGAGATGAAATCCTAACTCGCCCTTCACCTCTTCTTCTTTCTCTTGTGGTCAACATCCCTATCCCTGTCACTTGACCGTTTTCGTTTCCTATCGTCGTCACGGTGACTGCTCTTGCTGCTACTCTTGTGATGCCGATCCTTCTCCCCTCGGTCCTTCCCCCCTCGGTCCTTCCCCCCTCGGTCCTTCCCTCCTCGGTCCTTCCCTCCTCGGTCCTTATCCCGGTGCATGCTGCCGCTGTGTCTTGGTAGCTCTTCCTCTTCAATACCAGCATCAGCTGAAAGAGTAGCACAACAAGTTGTGAGGAGAACAGTGTCACTTTAAATGAAGGAGTATACAAGACAAATCTTAGGAATAACAACTTCATGTATTTTTCACAATGTTTCTGGGCTAGGTCTTGCCCGTTCTTCCACCTGAAGAACGAGCAAGAACTAAGTAAATATGAAATAAGTAAAACGACTGCTCCCTCGGCAAGCTACAAATAGCCCTGACTTCCCGTATGACAGCAGTAACTTTTTTTGAGTTATGCTCTGGAAACAAAATGACTACAGACGAACGAGGCGTCGACTTCATACGATACGACCGGGGGCAAGGACATCTCTCTGGACAGATGCTCTGCTTTTAAGTAATGAACAATATCAACAAGAAGACAAAGTCATCAATATCCCCCGCAACGGCAAAATACTCCTTATGAATATGTCTACTAGTTATGATTATATCAAATGTTTTGGAGTGTATACAGCAAAGTGGAAGGAGAGAATTGAAAGGTTTTAAAGATCTGCTCCAGAAAGGAGCACTACCACCAAATTCAGTTGAAGCCTAACTTGTTGCCATGGAAATGCAACAAGATGACATCCTCATAGTCACAGCCTAAGTCATGTTTGAATGGAAACAGCAAAACATTAAATTCATATCTGGGTCTAACCACCAAATGGCACATCTAGGGATCATGCTTGATATGTGTACCAAGTTTGATGAAGCTAGCATGTATAGTTTAGATCTGCTCCGGACAAGATGTTATCCTCATAGAGTTATAGTCACAGCTTAAGTCATGTTTCCATGGAAACCGCAAAAAATAAAATTCATATCTGGGTCTAACCCCCAAAAGGCACATCTAGGGATCATGGTTGACATGTGTACCAAGTTAAGCTATCACGAACAGTTTAGGAGATATGCTTCAGACAAAGTATGACGGACGCACGCACGGAACTCGTTTCTATATCCCCGCAACTTCGTTGTTGAGGGGGATAATAAACCTTAGTTGTTTTCCTCGTTTTGGATAAGTTAAATAGGACCTCCCACCTTTCCTGGCTTCTTCTTCAAGCTCATCCCAGTCTTTGCCGCTCTCTTCACTGGATCCCAGCTCTTCTTCTTCTGTAAAACCAGATGTAATGACAGGTGTAAACATATTTGTAACATATGGAAATACAAAGCCTATATGCACTATACATACAACTGCAAACAACACACACATTGCAATACAGAGAAGAAATATAAGATGTTAGATAAATCTTTGAGCTTCCCATATCTCCCAATGGAATTACCCCGAGCAGCTTTAGCGTACCTTAGGGACCGTTCATAATTTATGGCTAGGGGTGGTGGTGGTGATTTTTATGGAGAAGCATGTACAATGTGAATGAAACACACACACACACCCCCCACACACACCCCAAAAAAATAATAATAAATAAATAAAAAATTTGTGTACAAAATAAGTGACCCCCACCTTGCATGTCATATACAAAATCAATGACCCCCCTTCCCTTCCCATAATTTCTAAGCATAATTTTAAACATATTTTTATGTACAAAATTGCTGACCCCCTAGCTCCCCAAAACAAAATGGTGACACCCCACCCCCAAAAAATGAAAAAAATCATCATCACCCCCCTAGCCATAAATTATGAACGGTCCCTTAAGGGCCAAGATCACAAGGTGAGCTCAACACAATCTATACTGCTTCCTTCACCACCAGAGCACAATAGAAACTATACTGCTCCCTACATTATAAAATCTATAATAAATACTCCCTAAACAAACTATACTGCTCTTCACCACCACCCCTTAGAGCTCCCTACACTACCCACAAGAGCTCTGTACACCATAACCTGGGGTTCCATACACAACCCACTACAGCTCCCTACATCACCCCAAGAGCTCCCTACATCACCCCCAAGAGCTGCCTACATCACCCCAAGAGCTCCCTACATCACCCCAAGAGCTCCCTACATCACCCCAAGAGCTCCCTACATCACCCCAAGAGCTCCCTACATCACCCCAAGAGCTCCCTACATCACCCCAAGAGCTCCCTACATCACCCCAAGAGCTCCCTACATCACCCCAAGAGCTCCCTACATCACCCCAAGAGCTCCCTACATCACCCCCAAGAGCTCCCTACATCACCCCCAAGAGCTCCCTACATCACCCCAAGAACTCCCTACATCACCCCAAGAGCTCCCTACATCACCCCAAGAGCTCCCTACATCAACCCCAAGAGCTCCCTACATCACCCCAAGAGCTCCCTACATCACCCCCAAGAACTCCCTACATCACCCTTTCAGAGCGCATGGCCATACCTGAGTCCTCATCCTCCCCGCTCCAATCACTCTCCTCACTGTAGTCTTCACTGCTTTCAGGTTCAGTATCGTTCCCACTTGGCTGGTAATGCTCGTCCTCTTCATCATCATCATCATCATCTGCCTCAGCCTGCACAACAACACATTCAGCCAACATGAGAATACACCATTCTTAATAAATAATAAATACCCAGCAGTTAAACAAAGATGGTTGGTGTTTGTGTCGGGGAAGTTGACAGCTGGACTGGGAGCGAAGGAATGCTGCTCAGTGCCACAGTCAATAAATCCAGCTGGAGTGAGTGAGTGAGTTTAGTTTTACGCCGCACTCTGCAATATTCCAGCTATATGGCAGCGCTCTGTAAATAATCGAGTCTGGACCAGACAATCCAGTGATCAACAGCATGATCATTGATCTGCGCAATTGAGATATGACACTGCAGGCTGTTAATAATTAACTTGTTTTGGTTTTGTGTAACCTGTATCCTATCGGTGACCACACAAGCAACACCATGATCATTGATCTGCGAAATTGGGAACCGATGACATGTGTCAAGCAAGTCAGAGGTGGTGACCACCCAATCCTGTTAGTCGCCTCTTACGACAAGCATAGTCGCCTTTTGTGGCAAGCATGGGTTGCTGAAGAAATCCAGCAGGATCACTGCAGACTGTTGGTTGTTTAACACGCACTCAGCAATATTCCAACTATATGGTGGCTCTGTAAATAATCGAGTCTGGACCAGACAATCCAGTGATCAACACATGATCATTGATCTACGCAATTGGGATATGACACTCCAGGCTGTTAATAATTAACCTGTTTTGGTTTTGTGTAACCTGTATGCTATCGGTGACCACACAAGCAATCCAGCCTCACCATCCAATCTCATCTAGTTGACTCGTACAACTAGCAGTTACTGGTGATAAAAACATGACAGATGAACTCACATCACTGTCAGGTCCCAAGAAGCTCCAGCCACCATTGTCAAAGAATCCCTCGGGGTCGTCAGTGATTGTCTTCATGATCTTTCCCCAGTTCAAACTCTGAACACCCTCAGTATAGCAGATATCACAGGAACTGAAGACAGGTGTTTTATCATGTTCAGACCTCACTTACAAATACATCAAGGCATTGAAGATAATGTTGACACAACTTTATATCATGTATTGCCTGGTGTTCAGACTACGCTAAGAAATACATCAAGGTATTGAAGATATAGTATGACCAGAAATTATTGAGAATTTTAGGAATATGTTTAACTGGATTTCTAGTATAAACAACCTTGACCAGCTATCAAGTGCTTGGTTTCATTCAAGAGAGACAACTCCGTTAATCCTTTTTCATTAGTTTGTGAAGAGTTATCCCCCTTTGTTTACTTGCTAGCAGACGACATTTTCAGTGATCCTCAGTATGGATGATTTAGAGAAGAGGAAGTTGATTTTAAAGTATCATAACAAGGACATCAGATCAGCTAAAGTGATTTCAAGTAGAACAGGCATCCCTTTGTCCACTGTTTATCGTGGTTTGAAAAATATTGCAAATGGATATGGTATTGAGCACCAGGGAGGCGCAGGTAGGCCCAGAAAATTGACTGTCGGTGACAGGAGGCGGCTTGGTATTCTTGTTTCTAAAAACAAACGAAGGAGTTCAGAAAACTTAAGGCTGGATATGGTTGATAGAGGAACTGTGGCTGTCTGTAAGGAGACAATTAGAACTGAGCTGCATGCAATGGGTTGGCAGAAAAGTCGAGGAATTCGATCACCGATCATGAAACCTGAACAAAAGGAGCAAAGGTTGAACTGGTGCTTACAGCATAGAAATTTTAACTGGGACAATGTGATTTTCTCAGATGACTGACTGACTGACTGAGTTTGGTTTTACGCTGCTTTTAGCAATATTCCAGCAACATCACGGTGGGGGACACCAGAAATGGGCTTCACACATTGTACCCATGTGGGGATTCAACCCGATCTTCGGCGTGACGAGCCAACGCTTTAACCATTAGGCTACCCCACCGCCCCTTTTCTCAGATGAAAGTTCTGTGTGGCTGTTTCCTAATACACTGAAATTCTGGACCAAACTAACTGAAAAACCTTTGTATCAGCCCAAAGTACAGTCCGAAATTTAACGTGTAGGGTGGCATATCTGTGTTAGGGGCAACGCCCCTCTGTGTTTTTGAAGGGAATATGAACAGTGAGTGGTACACAGATATTCTCGAGGGGCATTAACTTCCATCTGCTCACGTGTTCTATGGACATGTTTGGATTTTCCAGCAGGACAACGACCCAAAACATCGTTCAAAGCATTCACAAGCCTGGTTTCTGACCCAAAATATGACATTATTAAATTGGCCAAGCTATAGCCCTGACCTAAATCCAATAGAAAATGTTTGGGGACTTATGAAGGAAACTGTCAATAAGAAAAATCTGACAAATATTGCTGAAATGAAAGAAGAGGTGGTCCGATATTGGGACAGCATGGACCACGACTTTCTAACTTCTTTGATCAGTAGTATGCCCCGCCGCATTGAAGCCTGCATTGCTGCCCATGGTGACTTGACAAAATACTAACTGTTCACCTGTCTTTGAATCTGGAGTTATGTTCTGCTAATATTCACATTTAATACGTGAGTAATGAGTGAATTTAAAAAAAAATTACAATCTTTAAATTCTCAATAATTTCTGGTTGTACTGTAATGTTGACACAGGTTTATATCATGTATTGCCTGGTGTTCAGACTTCGCTTACAAATACATCAAGGTATTGAAGATAATGTTGACACAGGTTTATATCATGTATTGCCTGGTGTTCAGACTTCGCTTACAAATACATCAAGGTATTGAAGATAATGTTGACACAACTTCATATGATTGAGTGAGTGAGTGAGTGAGTGAGTTGAGTTTTACGCCTCACTCAGCAATATTCCAGCTATATGGCGGCAGTCGCTTTATATGAAGTATTGCCTGGTGTTCAGACTTCGCTTACAAATACATCAAGGTATTGAAGATAATGTTGACACAACTTCATATGATTGAGTGAGTGAGTGAGTGAGTTGAGTTTTACGCCTCACTCAGCAATATTCCAGCTATATGGCGGCAGTCGCTTTATATGAAGTATTGCCTGGTGTTCAGACTTAACTACAAATACATCAAGGTATTGAAGATAATGTTGACACAACTTCATATGACTGAGTGAGTGAGTGAGTGAGTTGAGTTTTACGCCTCACTCAGCAATATTCCAGCTATATGGCGGCAGTCGCTTTATATGAAGTATTGCCTGGTGTTCAGACTTCGCTTACAAATACATCAAGGTATTGAAGATAATGTTGACACAACTTCATATGATTGAGTGAGTGAGTGAGTGAGTTGAGTTTTACGCCTCACTCAGCAATATTCCAGCTATATGGCGGCAGTCGCTTTATATGAAGTATTGCCTGGTGTTCAGACTTCGCTTACAAATATATCAAGGTATTGAAGATAATGTTGACAGCTTTATATCATGTATTGCCTGGTGTTCTGGTAGTTAAGACTACAGACTTACAAATACAGTCGTGCCCTGTTTATCCGAACCTCAGATATCCCCAAAACTCGCCTTCCGAACGAAAATTCCTCATACCGAATTCACAATGTTGTAAAATTACTCACTTATCCGGAAATCCGTTTTCCGTAACCGGACGGTTATTTTCACATACAAAACGCTAAATTATAAGCATTTTTTTCATGTATATCCGGATGGCTGAGCAGCTGTCAGTAAAATTTACACACGCATTTTACCGAGTGGATTTGCGCGCCCTTACATAAAAGAAGTCTGCAGTCTTTGAAGCGTGAGAGGATTAACTACCTGTAATTAGCAAGGTGACACTGAGTTAATTCTGAGTTGTGATTGGCAAGGAAAGACGTCCCCGTTGTTTTGGTAGTGACTTTAATCCGGAAGTTTATGTTAGGTACAGGAACAATGCGAACACGTGGATGACATCAGAACTGTTTCGTGATTGGTTGCTAGCATTTGACAGACAGATGCATGTACAGGTATGTTAGCACGTGTTACTGACTTGACTACTTTATTTGACAAGATGATATTTATGTATGCATTGTTATTTGTTGATGTCTTATCAATAAAGATTACGTCTGAGGTCTATTATGTTCGTTTCTTTGTATGTCTTTTTACATATCTTCGTGGTTCAGATATCCGGAAATTCGTTTATCCTGACAATTTCAAGAAAAACACAAGTGTCCGGATAAACGGGGCACGACTGTACATCAAGGTATTGAAGATAATGTTGACACAGGTTTATATCATGTATTGCCTGGTGTTCAGACTTCGCTTACAAATACATCTAGGGCATTACAAGACATTATCACAAACTGTTCATTATATTTAGCAGAATTAGTGCGAGTGAGTGACTTTAGTTTTAGGGCACTTTTAGTAATATACCAGTAACATAAGAGTGGTGGACAGAAGAAATGGGCTTCACACTTAGTACCCGCACTGGGAAATCAAACCCAGGACTTCTGACAAACGAACGCTTTAAACCACTAGGCTACCCTACCGTCCCTGAATCAGACACCAGCAGAGTTTCCTATTGTTGTCAAACTGAATATTTTTCTGCACTGATTGAGGTACTTCTTGCGGAATTGCAGTTATCACTTTTAGAATTAATAATTGAGAATACTGAATCTACTATAGTGTTCTCACTTGAGCCACTCCTTGACATGGTCCAGCATATTCATGGGGATGGAGTTGATCATTGAGGCTTTCCGACTGTAGTCCTTGAACACAAACACCATGTCGAAGTTCTTCAACTGGAAGGAGACTCGCTCGAAGTGGACCAGTTCTACCTCCTCGAGCGTCACTACAAATGGAGGCTGCAACATGGAAACAGTCAGTAAGAGAGGTGGCTGGTTTGGATGGTATTTAGGGTGTGGAAGTTTTTTCTTTGTTTTATGTCATGATAGCAAATCATTTCATTAGGGCATGATGACATCTTATCCATTTGGTCGCCTCTAACAAACAGCATATGCTGCTGGAGAGCTTCATCAGATCTGAAATCCCCAAATGACACATTTAGCAGTGTAAAGGATCAGTGTAAGGGCAAATCTTGGATTCAAACCTGCAATCAACAGATCCTGTCACATCCAAAGGGATGCAACCCTACAAGGCAAATTGCAGCACCTTACTCAATGCCACTCATGAAGTAAAGAACACGGTACTTGCTGTAATATACAGGAGCCAATTTTCAAATTTTAAACTGTCTTTCTTGATTTCCTAGATAAAATGAGTTGAATACAAAGCCCCTAGAACACAGCTCAGGTTTGAATTGTCCAGGAGCCATCTGCAGTGTCCGAAGCATCAGTCTTAAACATCCTCATCACTCACAGGCATTTATCTACACCCACTCATTTACTGATATTTAGACACAATTCTGGTGCAAATGACAGCAAAAGCTCTTAAATTGGAGCGAGTGAGTTTAGTTTTATGACGCTTTTAGCAATATTCCGGCAATATCACGGTGGGGGATACTAGAAATGGGCATCACGTATTGTACCCATTTGGGGAATCGAACCCGTGTCTTCAGTGTGACGAGTAAATGCTCTAACCACTAGGCTACCCCACAGCCCCTCTTAAATTGGAATTACAAATTCTCTAATTTAGCTTTGCAGCTAAAGGAATATGGTTTAATTCACCGCATACGCAAGTGAAACGTAACATCCCCAACTCATGGAATAGGAATTGTTTATATCTAAAATTAACATTGACTTTAAGGAAAACAGAAATTACAAAATCTAATTTTTTATTAACATTACTAATTTTACAATTTGCCTTCTAAAAGTACTTAAGTTTGGTGGAATCATAGATAAAATTGTGACTCACCCATTCTGTCAGGTTGACAAGACAGCCACTGGTGGGTTGTAGTAATACTGTACTCCTGAAGGGGGCGCCATGGTACCCAAGTTCTCGGAAGGGTGTGTCAAACTCAACTTCCTGTTTCGTGATTGTCTCCACTTTTTCACAGAAACTCTTGAAGGCAGACTTAAGCCTCTGTCTGAGTTCTCTCTCCGCCTGTTATGTCAAGTGAACAAGTGAGAAACATGTTTATACGAAAAGAAAGGTTTGGTTTGGTAGTTGTTTAACGCCGCACTCAGCAATATTCCTGCTTTATGGCGGCAGTCTGTAAATAATCGAGTCTGGACCAGACAATCCAGTGATCAACAGCATGAGCATAGATCTACGCAACTGGGATATGAAGACACTCGTTTACCAAGTCAGCGAGCTGACTGCCCGATCCCGTTAGTCGCCTCTTACGACAAGCATGGGTTGCTGAAGACCAATTCCAACCCAGATCTTCACGGGTGTGAAAAGAAAGGGCAAGTGGAGTTTTCTTGTTCTAATGCTGCACTCAGCAATATTCTATATGACAATGGTTGTAAACATATTCAGTCTAGACCAGACACCAGGATACGATGACATGTGTCAACCAAGACAGTGAGCCTGACCACCCAATTCCGTTAGTCGCCTCTTATGACAAGCATGGGTTACTGCAGATCAATTCTAACCCAGATCTTCACGTGTCTAGGACAATGGTCAACCAGACCAGGCACCTACCTACCTGCATCCATGTCAAGGGGACATGAGATATTTGAAGCATGCCATCATATATTTAACCAATGAGCTTATCACCTGTTCAGCATGGAGATCGTCGCGATCGTGCATGTGCTGGTGTTTTCCCAAGTCAGTCGTGATCTCTCCAACTTCAGTGTAAAACGCCACATCGATGTGCTTCTTTTTCCCGAACAAGATGGCATGCTGTTGATCGGATAATAAACTAGTCACAAATTGTTATAAACAAAACTGTCATCACATACAACTTGAGTGGTAAGTGATTATTTTAACAGTACATCCTTCTGAACAAACTGGGAAAAGAGAAATCATCCTTTAACAAATCAGCACCTATAGTTTGGCATGAAATGCATGTGGACCCGTTTTTTGTAAATATCTCTTCATCCAATGACCCAATCGATCTCAAAGTGCCACTGTTACAGGTCATTGGCTCCCTCCCTCTGCAAGCAGTCTGCTGTTTATTTCGTTGACAGTTACATAGACAGATTCTTTAATACAAATGCATAAAATCGGTGATTTACAATGTGATAAGGTTGTCTGACAAAACATCCACTTGCACAGTTTGAGATCGATTGGGTCATTGGATGAAGAGATATTTAAAATAAAGGTCCACATGCATTTCATGCCAAACTATAGTATATTGTATAACAGGACCTGTAAGTAGGTCATGGCACTTCAAGAAACCGTACATTGTTTAGTACTTCCAGTGACAAACAACATTTCATACCTTTCGACTGGTCTCATGGCTTTCAGTTAACAGGAAGGAACTGACAATCCTTGCAGGAGTAACAAATTTCCAATCTAACCATCCCCAACGTAACCAATTATTACGACTATCAACAGCTGTGGCAGCCACGCATGGTTGTAGACTTGGTCCGGTCTAGTAAAGTCGTATTTGTTGGTAGTGCAATTTGGAATTAGAACTGGTTCTTGAATATACGCTGGGCACAGGAAATCTGGTACCGGAAGTAAGCTGGGCCCCCTCTCACAAGTTGGCACAGGCAAAGTGAGCTGGGAACCAGCTTAGTATCGGAAGTAGCACCTCACGAGAGTTACTGGCCCTATTCATGTAGGTATTTCACATAAAAACAGTGACAAATATACTGTCGTGGTGACATGAAGTATTTGTCATGGCATGTGGTAATTCAACACAAAATGTCCACAGCATCATGACAACTGATACTTGATTTGCTTGTCTTTAAAACCCTTGAGCTATCACAAGACTGAAAATACCATGAACTAATTTTCCCTGACTTCATGTCGAGAAAAACACACTGTAGTGCTCTGCTCATGACACCGACCTTGAGGTGGAAATGTAGCAGGATGATCATCTCTCCATCACACGGCTGGAAGAACGCATGCTTGATGTTGTTGTAGAGGATGTCCACTTTGTCCCCCCGAACTGACGTGAAGCGGAAACCTGGGACAGAGTGGCACAATGTAATCAAGTTCATTTTCGTAGCTTGTTGACCTTGAATGCTAAACTGAGCTGAGGTAAGGTAAAAGTCCACTGATGGAGTGAGTGAATGAGTTTGCGTCTCTTTTTAGCAATATTCCAGCAATATCTCTGTGGGACACCAGGAATGGGCTTCTCACATTGTACCCATGTGGGGAATCAAACTGGGTCTTCGGCATGACGAGCGAACGCTTCAACCACAAGGTCATGATCAAGCAGGGACTCTCAGATCATTTTATGTAATAACGTCCATCACATACATGAGTTATGTTTTCAACCATATCTCAGTTACAGGTCTTTACCAGTGCCAGGAACTGGCTTGTTACAGGTATACATATCTGCCCACACCTTGTATAGACGTGCACTAGTAGCCTGTCTACAGTAAAGACTTACCATTTGTGTGAGCCTCCAGGGTGCCAGAAATTCTCTTTGAGACAATATTTGGTTTGATGTACAGATCCTTCAGCTTTGGATTTCCTCGATTGGGGTTTACAACCAAGGTATCTTGTTTTACAATACCCTTGAAAAAAAAAAATCACAATAAACTCTCACTAATTGGTCCATAGGCTTGTTACGTCAAATGCAGTGACGCAGTCTGCAAACATCAATTGTTTCAGTGAAATCCACAAAGAGAACCCGCTGCTGAGCCAAAACTTTCCTTATTAAAACAATATCAGACAATCCAGCGATCAACAGCATGAGCATCGATCTACGTAATTGGGATACAATGACATGTGTCAGCAAGTCTGACCACCCGATCCCATTAGTAGCCTCTTACGCTTAACAGTATAGAACTTATTTAACAAGGACAACTCGGTAATGAACCTTGCTAAGGATGGACTTAAGGGATGAGTCATTTATTACAAGTGAAAGCAAAAGTGAGTGCGTGTTTGCATGCATTCCAAAAGTCTCTGATGCGTTCAAGTACTGAATATAGTGACCCTTCCATATCCCTGTCCAGGGCTCCAGATAAGGGCCGCATCGGCATATGTACGGATATAAAATATGAACGATACGATAGGAAATAATTTAGAAAACGTAACAGATACGCACCACAGCAATGGTGTGCGGTCTTAGAATCATTTACAGACGTATTTATCTGAAAAGGTTTTGTTTAATTGTTTATTGACCTGTTTACACAAGCGTAGCAATGTTGTGGTGCATATATGAAACGAAACACAAGACTGATACTCCATTAAATTCCATTCAGTACTCTAATGTACTCAATTTTCCCAGTACTCCTATATTGAAAAAATAAGGGGTACGTACGCCTGATGTTGAAAAATTATCTGGAGCCCTGCTGTCATCTTTAAGGTTGACCATGACTGTGTCAGTACACTTTCATCATAACTCTCCCAGAGATAACAATATGCAAATCACTTACATCTTAACATGAAATGTCTACACTTAGACTTATTATTGGCACCTCCCCAAACAATATATCCTGCTGGCAGTCACCTCTTTCTCTCTCTCCTCCGCCTCGCCTCTCTCGTCTTGAACTTTTTCTGCACCTCCTTGATGAGTCGGAACGCTGTGTTGAGATTGGATGAGGGTGCGGAGATCTCACCAGGCTCTTTGGTGTTTGAGCTTCGATACGTACTGGAACGTGAAGGAACATGGGTAAAATGGTGTGTTGCACAACCGCTTCACAAGAGATTTTAGTTTGGAACAGACCGTGTCAGCAATATTTCAGCTATATGGCAGTGGTCGTAAATAATCTGGACCAGAGAATCCTGTTATTGGCATGAGCATAGATCTAGGTAATTAGGTCATGGTGGGTGTGCTGTCTAAGGTGCCATGCTAGTAAGCGAAACATGTGACCGGGTGTAAAAACCTTGGAGCTAACATTACTAGCAGGCTCTTTCAGTGTTGTCACAACCCCTTGTGTGCAGTACACAACCCTGTGCACTTAAAAGAACCCACTGATCCGATGGTTTGACCAGATGGTGGACACACGAACACGTGTGCAGACACCTAGTTATGGGTGTAGTAACATGCAGTATCATTGCACAAAATACTGTGAATCAACTAAGTCAACAAGCCTGAACACCGAACCACTAGTCACCTCTTACAACAAGCATGGGTTGCTGAAGACCAATTCTAATCTAAATCTTCATGGGTTAAGCTCAACTTTAGATATGAGTCACTTAGTCATGCATGCGAAGTTGTCACAAAGAATCTGTGAATACTCAATATTTTCTGAAAACAAATCGAACATCTGTTCACACTAATATTATCAACATATTAGATTATGGTCATAACACTAATTTTCACAAATATTCTGAAAAGTATACTTGATGCAAAGGTCATTTGATCTAATACTTTCCATTACTAATGGAAAATGTGGTAAGAAATTCTGAAATGTTTGAGGCTTATTACTGAGTGGTTGAATGTAATCAACAATTACTGGCAAACAAGGATAAGTTGTGCACCGACCTGACAATTGACCGTTATTAGCATGTATGAGTTGCCACCCACTGGCGCTTGCCATTGTTAGCAAATGGGCCCCTGGTTGTCCGCGATCAAGTGTAGTGCGACTTGCTACACCGACGTGAGAGTCTTACGAGCAAGGCGTGTGCAGCTACATGTGGAATCAATTTCATCGTCATGCAATGCACGTGCACTAGCCTACATCTGCTCTCCCCTTTCACAAACCAAATGGGTTTGCTCATTGCTGTGCACTGCCTAGTTCTCGTAAACGCGTTCTCTGCGCCGGTCCAACTTATTCTTGTTTGCCAGTACAGACATCCAGTGACAAATCAGAAATCTGATAAGTTAAGTTACATTTCTTTCAGGAAGTTGGCATCAGGCTGCTGAAAGGCGTTCTCATTCTTCCCCAGGGTAGCTCCAGGGTGGAAGAAGTTGACTCTCAGGTATGTGTAGTCTCCCTCCACTGACGACGAGATATTCTGGGCACAAAAACAATCACAGTCATTCAAACACTAAAACATTGTTCGTAACTACAGCATCTTTCTTCATTCTACTTAACTATCATCAGAGTTTTACACAGCTTGGAAATGTGCCTGCAGTTCAAGCAAATGTGCAGACGTAACTATTATGCACGACAGTACAGTACCATTTTGTTACACTCTCACCAGTGAAGGCCCTTGAAATTAGAGTGAGTGAATATGGTTTTATGCCGCTTTCAGCAATATTCCAGCAACATCACGGCAGGGGACACCAGAAATGGACTTCACACATTGTACCCATGTGGTGAATCGAACCCAGGTCTTTGGTGTAACAAGCTAACACTATGACCTCTAGGCTACCCCACCACCCTTGAAATAAGAAATTGAGTCTCTGAACCCTTGGCTTTGTTCAGGTAAACCCCTGCATGTTACTTGTTCTACAAGCATTCATCCAAAAATCATTTGTTGTTCTCAGTGTGGGGGCGGTGGGGTAGCCTAGTGGTTAAAGCGTTGGCTCGTCACGCCGAAGACCCTGGGTTCAATCCCCACAAGGGTACAATGTGTGAAGCCCATTTCTGGTTTTCCCCGATGTGATGTTGCTGGAATATTGCTAAAAGCGGCGTAAAACCAAACTCAGTCAGTCTCACAGTGTGTCTGGGTAGCCTACTGGTTAAAGCATTCTCTCCTCATGCCAAAGACCCGGGTTCAATTCCCCACATGGATACAATGTGTGAAGCCCATGTCAGGTGTCCCCTGCCATAATATTGCTGGAATATTGCTTTATGCGGCGTAAAAGCAGTGATCATTCTACACAATCATTTACAAACAATAATTGTCCTTCATACCCACCGCCATATAGCTGGAATATTGCTAGAGTGCGGCGTTAATCATATTATCCTCATCCTTCAGCATATAACTATTACAGCGGGTAAGGCAGCTGACTTTCTGTGCTGGCAATTAGGTGCCTGACTCTGAGGGTGTTGGTTCGAATCCCGGAGGTGACTCCACCCAACAAAAGTACTAGAATTGGTACTTTACTGAGTGAGTGAGTGAGTTTAGTTTTACGCCCCACTCAGCAATAATCCAGCTATATGGCGTCAGTCTGTAAAATAATCGAATCTGGACCAGACAATCCAGTGATCAACAGCAGGAGCATCGATCTGCACAATTGGGAACTGATGGCATATGTCAACCATGTCAGCGAGCCTGACCATCCAATCCCGTTAGTCGCCTCTTACGACAAGCATGGGTTACTGAAGATCAATATTCTAACCCGGACCTTCACGGGTCGGTACCTTACTGAGAAAGGTACCTTACTGAGAAACTTGTGTTACATTTGACCACTTTCTAAATGGCATTGTGTATTCATGGCATCGTTTATTTATAACTATCACATCTGATTTCATGGGAATGTCATCTGCAGCATGTCTGGAATCCATGACAATAGTGTGTGGCAGAGCGGCACTAGAGAAATACTCACTTTGATCGTGGAGATATGAAAAGGTACAGGGCTACCAAATATTGGGAGGATGATTGTTTCATAACGTTTGTCTGAAAGAAAAAGATTGTCATGAAAACCTGTTGCCATCGACACCTTGTAAAGTTATGCAGGTATTCAGGTCAATCAAACAATAGCTGTTACTGTAAATAATTCGAAGAACACTATCTCCACATCAGCAGTTAAACAATCCCCCTCCTCCTATGACCTCTATCTAAATACAAGTAGGAAGAACTGTTTTTCCAAATTTAACCAAACCTGCAGAGGTTTTCAATTCTTTGAAGAGAGTCGCCCTTTGGGTACATATTATGCATTTTCCGCTGAAAAATGTCCTGTGACAGTTGTATCAATGTTTTTGAATAAAAGATTGTACAATAAATAAACTCTTTTATTTATTATAATGGACTCTACCTCACGGAGTTACCTCCCCTTAGCTTACGCGCACTCAACTGGGTAGGCTCCTAGACCCGTGATCATCATTCCTTCTGCTGAATTCTTATCAGTGAACAGAATTGCGGGAGGTGGAGTTTCTATTTCAGTGGATCGCACTCTCTTCAAAGAATTGAAAACCTCTGCAGGTTTGGTTAATTCTTTTCAGAGAGATCGCCCTTGGGGTACATATTATGCATAAACACAGACTCCCAAAGACCGGAGGCCAGGGAGGAGGGAATTCTGTCCAAGCACACTCAAAATATAGCCATCGATCATGGAAAAAATTGAACAGACGCCATAACACTCACCTGTCACTGACCCAGTTTCGGCCTCACAGAGGCATTATGGGAGGGGAACTGACAGGGAGGATTTGTGCTCAAAGACTAACCTCTAGCATAATGAGACATTGCACGAGTGCTTAATATCAACTAAACCGACCCACTAAGTGGCTTCTTTCATGAGAGCACCGTGAGGGGGAAAACAAAAATACCACTCACTAACGATACAGTAACTCCAGAGAATCGAAGGGGTACAGGTTCTCTGAGTGAGCTCACATTAGCAGACATGTCAATAATGGAATCTTATTGTACAGTAGCCAAAACAAACCAATAAACCAAGACTCACTCGGTCAGGGTGGCAGGACACTGTCCACTGGAGAGAACAGTACGGCCAAAGTTTGCACGACACGGAATGCGACGAGCTGATAATGGCGATAAACGCGTTTTGGCCGGCTCCAAATAGCGCGGAGCAGATCTCTTCAATGGGGAGTGCCGATGCAAAAGCTTTTGATGCGCTACTGCCCTGACCGAAAGTGAGCCTTCAACCCCTCAGGGGGAGGCTTGCCCTTAGCCTGATAAGCCGCACAAATATACACGATACTAGCCAGCAGACAAAGTCTGCTTGCTCGCTGGCAGACCAGCCTTCCCGCCATCAGAATAACAGAACAGCTGGGTACCCGTGACGGATCCCCCGCGCTCGCTTGAGATAGACTTTGAGCCGCCTTTACGGACATCCAACGGGTGAGTGCTCAGAGGAGTGGTCCCCCCATGTGGAAGGCTGGGTAAGAGTAGGAAGTTCGATAGGAGCTGTCACATGGAAAGCGGATCGACCTTCGGTCGGTAAGCATCTGGGAGGCTTAATACTGACACGATCCGCGGTGAAACACAGTCAGCCGGTCGGACGACATAGCATGTAAATCGCCAATCTTTCACCAGATGTTACCGCCACCAGAAAACAGCTTTCCAGGTCAACAACTGAATGGAAATAGCCGATAGGTGTGAGAAAGTGGGACCGACAGCCAATCGAAAGCACGCATCGACAAATCCCAAGGTGGACTGGTTCGCCTGAGAGCAGGTCGAATCCGCTCCGCCAGCCAGCAGAAAGCGCCAGACGAGAGGGTGCTGCCCCAGAAGAGCACCATCGACAGGTGTGAAAAGTGGAAATAGCGTGGAGTAGCCGCAATGGTCGGCCGCCAGGCCTTCTTCCAAACGAGCTTGCAAAACTCCAATACTCGGACTAAATCCGCAGAAAAGGGATCTGCAATCCCCTTTATCTGAACACCAGCGCCGCATAGCGGGACCACCTATCCTCGTGACTGAACGCTTGTCTAAATCCCACCGGCCAGAATTGTGTCTGCAACTGCTGCAGGAATTCGCGGCCTCGAGGTTAGACCTGACAGAGGCTGCCACCCACTGAACTGCGGATTTGGGTGGGGCCCGCTCTGAGTGAGAATGTCCGTCGCGAAAGGTAATAGAACAGGAGGCTGAGCCAGAAACCTGAGAATTACCGAAACCAGCTCTGTGGACGGCCAAAGCGTGCCAGTAGCACAAGTAGCCGAGCTGGCTGGGTGGACAGCTGTGAAAGGACACGGGAATGAGTGGTAATGGCGGAACGCCCAGAGCACTTTGCCCGTCCAATCCAGCAGGAAGGCGCCGGCAGCCAACGCCTCTGGGTCCGTATCGAGAGCAGAACACGGTGTCTGATGCGCCCCGCCGACGCAAACAGATCCACCTCGAACCAACCCGCATAACTGGGAGATTACTGTGAATATCTGCCTGTCGAAAGCATCCACTGCGCGGGCCAGGATCCGCAGAGAGCCGCGATCTGCTCGCGACGCTCTCCAGCCCCGGAGATAAACAGGGAGTACCTGACAATCGCATTGGTCGCCCAGAGGAGAAAGTCCCACGCTTCCCGGAGGAGCTTGGGGACACCGTGCCTCCCTGCTTCAGGATGTACGACATGGCCGCCTGGTTGTCTAACTGAAGACGGACTACCTGGCCACGGACATGCTCTCTGAAGCCAATACCAACCGCACAGCTCTCAGTTCCAACACGCTGATGTGAAGGTGAGCTTCGCTTCGACCAGAGTCCGAAGCCGACAGACTGCCCAGAACGCCCCAGCCCGTGAGGGACGATCTGTCTGAACTGTGAGAGCTGGCGCCGGATTTCCAAGGGGAACCCCTGGTGAGATTCCCCGACATTTGTCCACCACTGAAGGTGAGGTGTCAACCACTCGGGACTGTGAGACTGCGCCCAGATCCTCCGCGGTGAGTCCACAGCCGAGCCAAAGCTTGCTGTATGGGACGATCTCAACCGCTACCGCCACACTACAGAGATCGCCGCCGCCATATGGCTCCAGTAGACGGAGCCAAGTCCGCGCTGGTGCCTGGGGCTGGGAGAGGAATGAAGAGACCATCTCCCAACTCTGGTGACCCGGTCGGGCGACAAGGAAACGAGATCCTTGTTCGCTTGAATCGCGGCCCAAGAAAACCAAGTCCTGGGTGGGTACCAGGTCGGATTTCTTGAGGTTGATGATCCACCCCAGTCGAAGTTAGAATGTCTATCACTGTGTGAGTAGCATCTTGACTCGCTGGCTGTGTTAGTGCTCCGAAAGCAACCAGTCGCCTAGGTAAGGGTAACAACGCCTTCCTTTGCGAAATGCAGCTAGGGTAGCTGGGACTAACATGAGCTTGGTGAACACCCTTGGGGCAGTCGATATGCCAAGGGGAGCACCCTGAATTGGTAATACATCCCGCCGTAAGAGAACCAAGGTACTGCTTGAACGATGGATGTATGGGTACATGCAGATACGCGATCCTTTAGGTCGATTGACGGAGCCAATCGCCGGGCTGAACAGATGAGATCACCGAAGCGCAGTGTCTCCATCTTGAAGGATGGTACTGAAAGCATGCGATTCAACCCCTTGAGGTTGAGAATCGGACGGAACCCGCCGCCTTTCTTCGACGAGGAAGTACGCGGAATAAAATCCCGCCTGTTCCTCTCCCCGGTGGAATGCGCCGATTGGCGGACTTGTCCAGCAGAGCCTGAACTTGTCCGCGCAATATGTCCGCCCTGGCTTGACATGACGGCACCGGAGTGCGACGTGATGCCGTGAAGTCGGGCGGACTCTCGCCCACAGTGGGAGATGGCCTATGCTGACCGTGGCCAGCACCCTGCTGTTGTTGGTAGCCTTCTCCCATTCCGCAGGAATAGAGAGAGGGCGCCTCCCACTGGGATATGGGGTAGGAGCGCGTGTAGACCCGAAAGTAGCGGAGCTGACTGGGCGCGACACACGGCTTGAGCGGCAGCCTGATGGGTTAACGGAGGTCGGGCAGACCTCCCGCTACCGCGAAAAGGCTGGGAGCTAGTCGAGGACTGCTCCTTGCCCCTACCCTTGGCGGACCTGTTCCTCCGCCTACCCCTACCAAGCGGCCGGGCCAGCCGGCAGACTCGGGTGTAGGCTGCACCCCGGGCGGAGGAAGGTGGCACGGAGCGCTGGGGCAGACACCCGCTGGTGCTCCAACAAGGCCTTAGAGTCCTTGAAGGAGGTAGCTGCAGCGCAGCCTCCCGTGATGACCTGCTGGGCCCCTGGAAAGAGGGTCGCCCCAGACGGAAAGGGAGGGCCAGCAAGGTTCGCTGTGTTGCTGCCGAAAGTACCTAGACGCCGACAGCCACAGCCGGGCGATCCCCATGACTGGCGCGCACATCACCGCCGACGCAGCAGACCGCAAAGAGTCGCTACAGGTGAGCCTGCACTTCCGAAAAGCTGACGGAGCAGCACGATTACGCGCGACATCGCCGCCAGCATGCCCCCTCCGCCCAGGGCCTCACCTCTGAACCGAGGAGAGGTAGGCCTCATGGACCACCATTCCGCACCTGCTGCATCGCTGCCCGCAGACCTCCTCAGAGGTCCGGCACACGCGTCGCAGGGGATGCCCCCGCAGGGCAAAGGTGGAGTTAGCGCTCTTGCCGAAAGCAGCCGGAGCTGCCCGAGGAAGCCGAGCCTCCCCAGGGCGACGGAAGTGAAAACACATTCGCCAACAATTGGTACAACGTAACAGGGAATCCTCCCCTGCTGGTAGCCGACGAAGTTCAGGTAAGTCAAACCTTACTCGGCACCAGACAAGAGGGATCGACCACGCCCGGAGACCAACGATGGCAGAATGCGGAGCTGCGCCTGTGAGGGTTGCCTAGGGGCAAACGCCGCCAGGCAAGCGGAACTCAGTCGAAGTCCACGCAACCAGCAGGCACCGCTGCCTGGGGTAGGCCCTCGGCAATTCTCTGCCGGACCTCCCGCAAGGTCGGCAAAACGGAAGCCGCCGGCCATGCTCCTCGACCTCCCTAAGCTCCATTGCCTCGGCGTCCCGAGCCCGAAGTCAGAGGCTGGGTCTCCTCCGTAAGAGGACCCTAACCCCGACCCGTGGACTGCCTAACGCTAGGAACCACAGGAAGGGAAGAACAGACAGACTGCTCCACGCCAGCCAGCCGGGCGCGCGCGGACTCCCCGTCCAGACGCTGGAGGCAGGCCAGGCAGAACTGGTGCCTCCGCCTCATGGGGCGGGTGCGCAAGGACCGGAATACCAGGAATACTCAACGGCCCTCGCTGAAGCCCGAGAGGGGACTGGGAGCACCTCCTCTCTCGAGCAGCCGAAGGCCCGGATCCGGCCAGAGGCAACGGATCTACAGACGCTTCAAGGCCGAGGGATCGAGCCGAGCCCGGGCGATCCCCCCTCGACTTCTCGCCCGTCCGAGCCCGAGTGGGTGAGGAACTCCTGCCGGAGACCTCCAACCGACTCACACCTAACGAAGGACTTCATCGAGTCCATCTGCTGCTGAAACATAGACTCCATCAGTGACATGTCAAAACCACTGGGGGCGGCAGGAGAGGGGAAGGGCCACGGGATTTTTTCCCTTTTTGACACACGCTTGGACTTAGACGGGGAACCCGCGCCAGGTCCCTCCCGCCCCACGATTTCGGGCGATAGAACAAGGTGTCGGCAGCCCGCCTCTTCTGGGCCCGGGGAAAAGGCCAGACAAATAGGACAGGAGTCAGCCTCATGGCCTGTCTTCCAGACAGGCCACGCGAACTGGTATGACTGTCGCCCGGGGATACTCCCTCACAGACCTAACAGCATGAAAAGGCCTGAAACAAACACGCAAAACATGTTAGTTAACGGGCGCCAGCAGCATATAAACACGAGAAAACATTGAAAACTACGGAAGGTTACCACGGAAAGTAATAGTTGGTTTTAATACGCAATATTATTTATCACATGGCACGCTAAACTTCCCGCCATGGCAGAGCAACACGCATGCGCAACCACGGAAAGTTCGCAGATTTTGTATTAATACAAAGTCACAATTATGAAACAACCAACTGTAAAGCTTTACTGTTCTTGTTTTAGACAAATAAAGACCATACATACAGGTGGTGTCTCAGACATAGTCTCTTTTAACAGCTCGCACGGCTCATGAATGGGTTATCAAAACACGCCTGTTCACGGCCGTGACAGCAGAAGGAATGATGATACGGGTCTAGGAGCCTACCCAGTTGGAAAGCGCATGCTTAAGGGAGGTAACTCCGTGAGGTAGGGTCCGTGATAATAAATAAAAGAGTTTATTTATTGTACAATCTTTTATTCAAAAACATTGATACAACTGTCACAGGACATTTTTCAGCCGAAAATGCATAATATGTACCCCAAGGACGCATCTCTGAAAAAGAATCCAATTGCTTTTGTTTGTAAAAATATACCAGTCTACTTACTCTATTTAGATGTTAAGTTATATCATCACTAGTACCAGGGTTTTACATGGTGCACAAATGTACGTCCAGTACACACGAATGTACAGAATGGAATCAGAAAACGAAATATTGCATCCACAGAGACGCACAAATATACCCAGAGCGTATCTACAGCAAATCAACAGAACAGAACATAACAGAACTTTTATTACGCTCAGGCCGGGATACTTGGCATAAGAGGTACAAATATATAGTTGAGAATACATGGGATGGCGGGATGGTTTACAAGGAAGATTGTACAGTTTTCATGATAGTACTACAAAATATACACAGTTTTTAAAAAACACTAATTAATTTACAGTTGAACAATTCGTTAAATCTTAAAACATTACGTCTTTTTAACATAATGGTTTGGGATATAAGTTTTAAGATGATGTTTGAAGGACAGAAAAATATGTAGTGAAATTCATCGCGAACATCGCACATGTCTGACACAGTAGGTATCTGTGTCTGTTATTTCACCCATGGACACTGATTCATTCCAGGCTCTGAAGTAATTATCTGAACGTTCAGTACATAACACCATTTCGGTACTTTACAGGACTCCCATATTACCAGCAAGTGCCCATAAAATTTATTGATGAGGGACCCTGGACCCCAACTTTGGTAAGTCAAGGTAAAACCCTGACTATAACATTAATTTTTATAATGCCTTATGTACCTGCTCTTCTGTACTGCTATTAACCAAACAACTGGAAGAACAGACACCAGTTCAGGTAACAAGCATCCACTGACGTGATCTTTATGTCAAAAAGTATCAATAAGGTTACACTTTACATTATGGTTAACCAGGTAATCAGAACCACACCATTATTGTTTTTGTTGTCATCGTTATCTACACCAGCTTGACTCACTTTTTCTCCCCCGAATCTGATTTCATCCCCTTCAGCCGTTCCTTAGCCTCCTCGTTCAGCCTATGGGCCAGTTCCCTCTGGTGTTTTAGTCGTTTGTCCTCCGAAGACACATCCGTCTGGAAACATTTATTGACGCTAACATCTTGTCTAACTATTGTTTCACACTTTAATAGGAGCGTGAATCCAAGAAAGAAATGTCAGTTTCATAAGTCAATAATCAATACATCACTTATCCCTTTGTTCAAGCTTTTCTATCAAATTTTGAACCCAAATGATAACTGAACACCTAACATGCCATTCAAACATACCAAATATGAATCCTATAACAAAACAAAATTTGAAACATAATTCTCACTTTTACAACATTCTTGTGATATTAAGACAACAAAAACTGTGTGAGCATCTTATCAAAAAATGCAAGAGACAAAGAATTTCAAGGAATACATCAATTTGTTAAAAGGGGAAAAGCTTATTTTTTTACAGTAGAACTTTGCAATTTGTTTCAGCAAAATTTTGATACTTTTAGCTTACAATTTGTCTGGGGTTGTTTTAGGAGCACTTACCCTAGTTCTACTCTCAAGGACAGCTGTGCGCCGACCACGGCCAAGCACTTCCTCCTCCTTCACCTCTTCCTCTTCTTCTTCCTCCTCCTCTTCTTCATCCTTGAGGAAGATACCGATGTGCTTGATACGCTTCTTGACACCGGTCAGAACCGAGGCAGGGGCACCCTAGGATAGACATGTCATTGTATTCAGTCAGAGATTATCTGCCCAACAGGAGAGTTGAACTTCTCACGGTACGCAACTTGTTACTTCACATAACCACAAATGAATACATGAACAAGAATGATTTTAGAGCCACTTTGGGAAATCTTCCATCAATATCACATGAAGGGACTTAACAATCAACTTAACATTCGTACTCTGTGATGAGCAGGCCGACCCTTAGATTACCCAACTGATGGTTTCATACTCTACATGCCATTACTAAATATGACCTTTCCAATAGTAGGTGTCCGGAAGTCTACTTTCGTTTGCTAACAAGAGCATGTTCAGAAGGTTGGTTTCATCTACTGACAAGATGTCCAAAACTCTTTTTCCCCTGCTTGCAAGTTCATAATACACACAAACTGCTTCCTATTGGAGTTGTAATCTGTCATATCCAAGGCAGTAGTGTCCACCTGCCTCATTGACAAAGACTGCATTCTCAATAAATAATAATAATAATGTGTCCATTTATATAGCACCAAACTCCACACTAGGTATGCTCATAGCGTTAACAATCAAGGCACAGCACATTATTACCCCAGATAACCCAAGCTGCCTGTTAGGCGCTAGAAGGTTATAGTCATATGACTTTTTTTCACCGGGTACCCATTTTCCTGCTGGGTGAACAGAGACAATTTTGAACAAACTCACTTGCCTAAGGTGAGACCACATGTGTCACATGTGCTTCGTTGTGGGGCAGGACTCAAGTCCTAGAAACTCTCAGGAGTCAAGCTGCCAAACACGGTCACCCATCCAAGGACTCACCGAGCTCGACACTGCTTAACTTCACCAATTTGTGACCTGAGCTTTGAGCACAGGACCACGCGCCACCACTGGGCATATGTCAGTGTATGACCATCCAAGATGGGCTAGATTTCTGACGAATGGTCTAAATTTTAGATAACATTTTCGATACATCTGAGTAATTTTCTTTGGATTGTCTGGTCTGGCCAAATACAGCCCTGATGTCTGCCTGGGTATTTTGCTTATTTCATACACTGCGTATGTCCTTGAACATTTCAACAATGATTACTAGGACTGTGAACATCCCCATACCCCGGGCTTACAACCTACAATATACAACCTACCTCATTGACAAGGACCGTGTCACCAATGAACAGGGCATATGTCTTAGAGTGTTCATCTTTCCCTTCCCTGTTTGGCAGACTGGAAAACCCGACATTCACGTTGAACACCATACCTGAAGACAAGGTTGTAGATGAGTTACTTACTACAAATGTACGATATTAACTTGGAGACCACAACTAACCGTTTACTTTCTGAATAGTTGTCTAAATGATGAAGTTCCAAAAACCATGAGAGTGACGGGTATTCTGGAGAGCAGAAAAGTAACATGTACGGATTGTACATGTTTAACATATAACCTGTGATGATCCGGGTTAGAATTGATCTTCAGTAACCCATGCTTGTCGTAAGAGGCGACTAACGGAATCGGTTGGTCAGGCTTGCTGACTTGGTTGACACTTGTCATTGTTTCCCAATTGTATAGATCGACGTTCATGCTGCTGATTACTGGATTGTTTGGCCCAAGTTCAATTATATACAGACCGCTGCCATGTAGTTGGAATATTGCTGAGTGCAGTGTTAAACAATGCCCAAACCAATCTAATGCCTGATTTTACCAATGTAATGCCTGATTTTACCAATCTAACGCCTGATTTTACCAATCTAATGCCTGATTTTACCAATCTAATGCCTGATTTTACCAATCTAACGCCTGATTTGGTTATTTGTTGTTCAATGCAACACTCAGCAAATTTCTCCTGTATGACAGCAGTCTCTAAATAATAGAGTCTCAACCAGACAATCCAGTAACTGACATATTGATTTACACAGAGGGATAGATGACATACATGATAATGGTAACATCAACACAGGGGTGGAAATAACTTAAAAATTGCTAGTGTACTCCGGTACAGTGGCACATGTAAAATCACTTGCCCTGATAATTTTTCCACTATATCTTGTTGATTTTTAAAATAAACATAGAAATTTTTAGAGTAAAATTAATATTTTATTCTTATCCTGACTCATGCTTATTGCTTGCTTGTCTTCTTCTTCTTGCATAACCTAGTGGAACACGGTATCTCCCAATTGAAGTTTCCTTCAATAAAAAATCACTCATTAGTACTCACCACGAGTAGCCTCCCTTCCACAAGCTGCTGAAGGCAGGGCATCAACCGAACCCAAGTGCCTCACTCTCTCCTTTTTGTTTTGAGCCCGACACTTTATTTTTCCAAGAAATCCAAAGTGTTTAGTGGGGAGGGCGGGGAGGGCTTACCTCATGAGTCAGGATAAGTATAAAATATTAATTTTACTCTAAAAATTTCATATTTTTCCTAATTTTCATAATACTGAGCTTAAGATAATAAATTAAACTTAAGCAACAACAGTACTAATAGCTACATGCTATCTATATATTATCAGATAAGTATAAATCTATAAGATAAACTTATCTTCTCCGTGGAACTGTCAACTGTTGAGCGAGGACCATGGGACGAAATGGTGGATACCTGAGACATCCTTGGTGGTGATATCTCTCAGATAGTGGTTGGCAAACACCATATCGGATCTCCAAAACATCCCTCCATAATGGTATTCAACGAGCAATTTCCATGTAGAGCGAAAGAGTTGAGGCTAAGCTTCTAATTTCGCGTGAGGATTAGAAGCTCTTGGAGTGGTCGAGTCCTGCAGCCTTGTAGGCTCGTAGTATGACAGTTCTGATCCAAATAGAAATCGTAGAGCACGCGACACTTCTGTCTCTTGGCCGTAGATATAGGGATAAATAATCTCTTGAATTTCCCTCTACTTTTCTTGGATCGTTGGAGATATATTTTCAGTGCGATACATAGGGCAAAGTGATAGATCCATCGTATCATCGCGGTCCAAGTATGGATGAGAGCTGGGACATGGAACAACCTGTCTGGTTGACCTGGCAGTTGATTTTTTGCTATAAAAATCCCAGCGAGTCCCAGATGAGCGATGTTATGAGTATCATCAAAGCGTGTTCTCTGGTAATCCAAAGCTGAATCTCAGACATCCTGGCATGCAGTACCTAATGCTAACAGGAATAAGGTCTTGTGGGTCAGTGATTCAAACGAAGCAGATAACAATGGTTCATAAGCCTCACTTGTGAGGTGTTGGAGTACTATATTTAGATCCCAGGCTGGAGCTTGAAACTTCCGCTTCTGATCTTCCAATCGCGAACGCGTAGAACAAAGCGAAAAGTAACTCCGTGTTTTGGTCAACTTGACGCCTCCGCTCTCATAGTTATGACAGAACTTAAGGCTGCAAGATAAGTGGACAAGGTTGAGCCTTTTAGATTCTTAGTTTGACGAGGTAACATAAGAAATCTGCCACTTGAGGATGTGTAGCATATCTGGCTGTAAATCCTTTCTTAGCAGCGTAATTGACAAAGCTGTGCCATTTGTCATCGTACAAGTTACGAGTTGAGTTACTGAGTGCAAGCGTGACCGCTTTAACCTCCGGCTCTGGCAGAATAACCTCTTATTCAAACATGCCTTGATACACACATGAAGTTGGTATGCTTCTGGTGTCTTGTGCACTTGTTTGGTGCGCGGATGTATCAATAGATTGGTGCACAGTGGTAGCTGAAGTACTGGTTTTCTCCGATTCCTAGCATGAGATCTGGAAACCACGCTCGCAGAGGACAGTAGGGCCACTAAAATCAGATGGAGGCTCTGCGCTTGACTGATTTTCTGTAAGACTTGTGGGATTAACGAGGAGGCGGAAAAGCGCACGCTGAGTCCCTCCCCACGATATGCTTAGTGCGCCCGCTGCCCATGCTAGTGGGTCTGACACTGGCGTATAATAAGGTTGTCAGTTGTTTGTTGAATCGAGTGGGCAAATAGGTCTATCAGAGGAGATCCTATTTCCATGATTATATGATTGAATATCTCTGTGTGGAGCATCCATTCTGTCGGGCGACGGTTGGTGTGGCCGAGAGAGCCGCCTGCTAAAACATTCTTTGCTCCTGGAATGTGGCAAGCTCTGACATGTATGTTTAGATTGTCGACTAAATCAACAGTCTGAAACAACGTGCATTGAGTAGATTCAGTGATCTTGTTGAACCTTGTTTGTTCACATAAAACGCCACTGTTGAATTGTCTGTGTGAATCATCAACTGAGCATTCTGTAGTAGGTTGCTCCAGTGACTTATGGCATTTATGACTGCTTGCATCTCTAGCAGATTTATGTGACATTTGCTCTGTTGCTTGCTCCATAGGCCTGACACTGTCCTGCGGGCAAGGTGGGCTCCCTAACCTTTTAGTGACGCTGGCCTGGCGTGAGATGTGTTTTCGATTCCGCCTTTACTAAGGAGACGCTCTGCGCAAACATTCAATCTCTCTTGGTCCACCAGAGTAGATGTGGTTTGACGTAATCTGGTAGACTGAACGGTAGAGGGTCCCTCGAGATGAGCATTGATGAGGACTTGTAATGGACGAATTGAAGCCTGCCTCTGAGTGTCAAGTCTTGAGCTGATGTGAGTAGTCCCAATAGGCTCTGCCACTGTCGTGAGTGGTAACGGAGAGAGTAGGGCTTGGGGAATCAGTTGTTGGATCTTGATCCATCTGTCCTCCCGGGACTACTAAACGATTCTGAGCTGTAAGGAATCGTGATACCTAGAAAATGCAGATCCCTGCGCTGGTTCTAGGTCCGACTTGAGTAGATTTACTAACCAACCTAATTGAGTTAGTAACTTGATTATAAAGTTCAGCTGTAGTTCGAGACGCTGTGGATCTGGATCCACTTGTATACCATCGCCTAGGTAAAATGCGCCCGCAGACCTTGACGATGTAGGTATGAGACAATAGGCTTGGTTACTCTTGTGAATACCCAAGGGGCTGAAGTGATTCAAGGGAAGTACCTTCCATTGGTAATGTTTGCCGCCTAGGATAAATCTTAGATATTTCCTTGAGCTGGGATGAATCGAATGTGTAGATATAGCGCCTTGCAAATCTATGCTGGCCATGTAATCTAGTGGACTAATTAATTGCCGGGTTGTGGTAAATGTATCATGTAAACGCTGGTGGTTTGCATAGATATTTTCTGTTGAAGGTGCTCATGTTGTAAAATGAGACGATACTTCTCCTTGGAATTCTTTTTCGCACTAGGAAAACTGGGGAGTAGAAACCTGGTACGATGTTTCGCTGATCCAGAACTTCTAAGGCCTGTTTGTTTAGCAGAGACTGTACTGTTTCTCTTAACATAGGTAGTTGAGCCGGGTTGAACGCTGAACCCTGGGGGGTGACTGTTAACGGAGGCTTGGTCTTGAGTTGTATGAGATATCCGTGCTGTAGGATGTTGGATACATAAGGATCTTGTAGTATTCCCCAGTTTTCCCAGTGTAGTTGAAGACGCCCACCCACTTGAGAAGGTTGTACTGGAACGACTGGGGTGGAAGACTCCAGTCGTTCTGAACCTGCCTTTCATCGCTTAAATCCATCGGCCACCTCTGGATGATCTGCCTCTCGCTGATCCTCCTCTAAATTTGCTGTATGGGCTTAATTAAAAGAATCCTTGGGATTATTAGCTGCAGCTAGTTTCTTGTCCCGTGCTCTCTGTAGCCCTGAGAACTTAGACTTGCCCGAGTATCTCTGTGCTGACTGTTTAAAGGCGTTAAGCTAAGGTATCCATGGATCTAATCACAAGTACCTCTCTGGATTCTTTAGATACTTCTTTGGAGACCTTGTTTATGTTGCCACCAAACAGAAAGGGCGATGACCATGGAGCTGTGTAAAGAGGCTCTGTGAATTGCTTATTCCAAGAGCAGGAGGCTAGTAGTCCTTGCCTACGCTGGCCATGGTAGTAGTTTCAGTAAGCTGAAAGGTGTTCTGTAAGGAATTGGTGGTCTTTTTTCTGCATGAGTAGAGCTGAATAGATCATTCTGTCTTCCTCATCTGTAGAATTCTTGAACTTGGTGATGAGAGTCTCATTAATAGTTCTAGATCTATTTAATCCAAGAACATCCTCCTGGAAATGGTATCTAATTGGGCCAGTTTTGCGATCGCCTACTCTGTAACTTCTGGACTTGGTATCAGAGATAAGTTGAAAGTTGTCATCAATATCCTGGGCCTTGAAAAAGGGTTCCATATTATGTCCAGCAAATTTCTTGGCATTGAAGACCGTAAATGAGTAGATTGGGCTTTAGTGGATTTGGAGCAGGCTGTATCTAGTTTAGCTGGTAACGGCTGCGATTGGGTCAATAGGAGGTAAGGTGATATAATCTACATCATCATCCTTCATCAGGTAAGTCTGAGTTGCATCCTCGCTCTTTGATGGGGAGGCAAGTTGTAATTCATTCACCATCCAATATCTTATCTCAGCATCTGAGAAAATGATACCATCCTCCTCTTCTGACGTATGGTCATATGTCGGAGTCCTAGATCTATGGGAAGATCTATGTGAGGACTGTGGAGAACGGACTGACGAAAGTGGCTAGTGCATGGAGACCTTTGAGAAGACATCCTTCGCGAAGGCTGGGTGTTTAATGAACGCGGTGAGGGCTTCGCGAAGCTCTTCTACACTGGGGGGGGTAGAAATGGAACCACTTAGCCTGGGGCGTCCTTAACGCGCGAATGTCTTCTAGGTCAGTGTCGAAATCGACCATAGTGAGCCCTTGCTAATGTCTCGAAAGACCTCTGTGAATTACAAGGTGCGTGCTCGCAAGGTGCTCCTCGGGCCAGCCAAGCCTCTCGCAATAGGTGAGGCTCTAGCTCCTTCGCCGAGAGGTGGCCTGGGACTTCCTATGCAAAGAGCTCGCTCCGGCTGGGATGCCCTTCGCTGAGGAGGCTGCCTGTGGGCTCTGGGCCCTACGCTGGCAACAAGGCCGGGCTCTGGGGCCCTGTATGACTTAAAATGGGTTGGGCTCTGGGGCCCGTGGCTCTGGGGCCTCTGTAAACCGTGAACGGTCTTCCATCAGCCCTCATGATTTGGTTGACCAGGTCGCCTGAGGCGGTCCGCGCTGATGATGAGGGTTGTCTCTCTGCTAAGGTGACGGGACCCTCAGTCAAAATTTCTGGTGACAGCGTAGGCATCTCCGGGTTGTGTGTTAATCTGCGCTGAGGTGACAGTCGCGGATACCGGACGTTTCTTGTGACTTAACCTCTGAATGATAATCGGAATGTCATCATCATATAAGGCTAATTCTGTGACTGGTAAAATATCAGAGGCAAAATTATTAGATTTTGTAGACTTCCCTTTTGACAAAGTTGTAGACCTGGGTGTACCGGGCGCATTTGAGATGATATGGACGCTTTGCTAGTCTTAGACTGAGAAGACGACAGATCTTGAGACGCAGGTCGCTTCTTGGACATAGCGGACTGCGTCCCACGCTTATCCCCCGAGGGAAACTCAGGCATGCCACCAGCCGGTGGCGGGTCGTCAGTCAACAGTTGACAGGGAACATTAATATGTGATCTATTAGCCATGACTGAGATTTGTTTATTTAGATTTATCTGCCTTCCGCCTAAAACTGAACATAAATATTTATCAAAGGCAGAAATTGGTAAATTAATACAAAATTTACAACGAGAAATAAATGAACATGGAGTAATGCAACTAGGGCATTTTAAATGTGGGTCTGTATCAGAGTAACGAAGTTTACAATCTGTGCAGATTCTCATTAACGTAAACTGCTGAACAAACACGCTTAACCGTGAATAAACAGCAGAAACACGATTAATAATCAATGCAAAATTGAATAAGGATACTAGTAACACCTCTATACTAAGTATAAAAGGTACTAAACTAAATATAAATAAAGGATATAGTGTGTGGGAGACACAGGCTCTCACGCCCAGCTCACTGGGCTTAAGAAGGAGAGAGTGAGGCACATGGGTTCAGGTGGCCCTCGCTCCCTGGGCATGGAAGGGAGGCTACCGTGGTGAGTGCTAATGAGTGATTTTTTATTGAAGGAACTTCAACTGGGAGATACACGCGGTTCCACTAGGTTCTAAAAAAAGAAGACAAGCAAGCAATAAGCATGAGTCTGGATAAGGAAAAATAACATAATTAATATTGGAAAGTCAACTGGACACCGGTACACTGTGATATACAAATTTGCTTGCCACAGAAAACCACTGGACTCGAGGCATCGGGCAATGGGTTATTTCCACCCTGCAACAAATACAGCCAGTCTTGACCAACCAATAATTTGGTCTCCTCTTACAAGCTGTTGTTAAAGAAAACCTCACAGTGGAAATTCTAGTGAAATCACAATCAACTATATAACCTAAAGACCAAGGATCACAACTTGGATCTAATGTCATAAGCGTATCCTAAAATGGTTAAGGTAGATAACTCTGCATAATGAATTGCACTGCCTCTGACCTCATATCAGCACATCCTGACCACTCATTCAGGGTCCAGAAGGGAATAGAACAGCTCAAATGTAGTTCCCATATGATTATTTGAACTTGTTTTTACCATTCTTAGTACTATCAACTACTTGAAATGTTTCTGTGCATGACAACCTTTCACTAGTCAAAGTTTTCAAAGAGTCCCTACCCTTCTTGGCAGGAGAATTGGTCTTCGGAGAGATGAGCAGGGAGCCTTCTCGGAACTCAATGCCCATCGCAAAGCCAAATGTCTTAGTCATCTTCTCCATCAGGCTGGGTTTCTCAGACTTGACCAGCTTCATCACAGCTTCATAAACCTCACTCAGCTTTGTACCTGGAGGAAAGACCAATCATACAACTACTAATACAATATGGGATATAAATAACATATCTCACTCACTCGGTCTGGCCAATTGCCAAATGAGCTCCAAAAAAGTTCATGACTCAAACAATTTGCCTGACCTAAGTATGATCATGTATGTTGATACATTAAAGTTAGGGAGTGACAGGGCTCCAGATAACTTTTGGGGGTGTGAGTGTACTTACACATCATATTGCAAGTGGAGGTGTACTGAGAATTTTGAAGGAGTACCGACATGTTTTTGTGTGAGCGAGTTGGTGATGCGGTTTGTCTGGACGATTCATCGATCACTATTTCTAACCATGTATTTGTATTTGAAGACGCTTGAGAAATAACTGAGCGACCGTGTGATGCGCGAAATGTCGGGTCCGACTGGATATAAATAGGAACAGTGTAGTTTTTAGCCAATCGAAAAATAGTGACGCATATCGTTGCATGGCAACGCAAGGGATTCCTACTGTTGGGGTTTCCTCATGTGTCAAATCGTGTTTCGCAAAAGATACTTGACAAGTATTTATCCGAAATAGATTTCCATTTGCACGATACGCACGGAACTTAAATGTTAGATGTACAAAGGTATTTATGTGCGTACACGATACGCTTGAAATCTTATATTATGTCGTACTTAATTGATTTTGAGGCGTACATTACGCCTGTACGCCCCTTATCTGTAGCCCTGAGTGAGTATGGTTTTACGCCACTTTTAGCAATATTCCAGCAATATCACGGCGGGGACACCAGAAATGGGCTTCACACATTGCACCCATGTGGGGAATCGAACCCGGGTCTTCCGCAAGACAAGTGAACGCTTTAACCACTACACTACTCCACCACCGCCCCTTGATACATGAAAGCCATATAATCGTAAGGCAACAGGTCAAGTCAGTAACAATCACCAGGGTGAAACAACCATCTGCCCTGGGGCCATGGCTACTCTATTTACTCCATGATGAGCGAGACTTCCGATAACAAGCATTGTCACTAAGGTGACATAATCCCCCGCCGCAAATTATCAAATCAAACTTACAAAGTAATGAAAGTGAAGGTCATAATTTAAGATGAAGTTAAATGTCAACAAAAACATGACCAGTCAACCTCTCTTGATATCTTGCTCTGTAGTTATTCAAACGCACAAATATTTTCAAGACTCACTTTGACCTTGACATGAATGTCTTAGTGTATGAAATATGCAAAAATAGTAATAAAGAAATTGCTTATTGAAAAACATTCAAGGGAAGTCTTGAAAGTCTATGAAGAAAATCCAGTGAACTGTTCTTGAGATATCTCGATGACAATCTTAACATGCAGTTTAACATGCTGAAATCTTCAGAGTGTAGTCATGACCTTGAAAATTATGTGAAGGTCACCAAAATGGCTTGGAACTTGCACCTTCCCCAGATGAAGCTTGGTGTCAAATATGAAGAAAGTCCTTGAGATGGTTCTTGAGGTATCAATCTGACAACATGCAGGTTAACATGCTGAAATCTTCAAAGTGTCGCCCTGACCTTGAAAATTAAGTGAAGGTCACCAAACCGACTGAGCCCTGCACTCGATGAAGCTTGATGTTGAATATGAAGGAAATCCAGTAATCGGTTCTTGAGGTCTCGCCAAGCTAAAAAAGCTTTAACATGCTGAAATCTCAAAGTGTCAGCCATGACCTTGAAAATTAAGTGATGGTCACCAAAATTTACTGGGCCCTGTGCCTTCCCTAGATAAAGCTTGGTGTTTAATATGAAGAAAATCCAGTGAACGGTTCTTGAGATATCTCGCTGACAAGGGTAAAACGTTAAAGTCCCCTTGTGACCTTGAAATGAAGGTCAAGGTCACCAAACCTGACTGGGACCTTTCTTTTACTGTGATGAACCTAGGTACCAAATATGAAAAGAATCCAGTCAACGGTTATTAAGATATTCCAATTCGTACGTCATCGTACAGATGGACGGACAGAGTCTAATATCATATCCTCTCAAGGCTTAAACGCTAAGCGGTGATAAAAACATGGCATCTTACTCACCATGCTGGAGTTTGCCGAGGATCTCGTCCTGCACCTTCAGAAGAAAGTCATAGTTTTTCTGCATCTCGTCTGTAGGGTCCACTAGGAGTGTGCGGCAGATGTTGGAACAGTAAGACTTGTACCGTGCTCCCAAACAGCAGACAATAGCGCCAAAGTGAACTGGAGTGTCATCACTGAAAAGTAATGAGAGAATGTTAATTCCAAAAACAAAACAAAAGTTGGGTTTGACGCAGCTTTTAGCAATATTCCAGCAATATCATGGCAGGGAACACCAGAAATGAGCTTCATGCATTTTACCCATGTGGGGAATCGAACCCGGGTCTTTGTTGTGAAGAGCGAACACTTTAACCAGTAGGTTACCCCACCGCCCCTGAGGTAATGTGGCTAAGGTTTCAAAATATGAAAGAATATTTTTCCTCATTATCTCAAGTGAGTTGACTTTAATGTCATTTTGACAAATAATCCAGAGACATTGCAGCATGTCAGCTGGGTTTTGAAGGAAAGTCCAAACTGATGCAGAGATCTTAAATGTTTACCACATCTGCAAAACCATTAAGCAACAGAACCTGGAAACAAAATCAAGGAGAACCTAGGATTTGAACCAACGAACAATAAGTTTCTGACAAGCTAAGGGATGCAATTCTTCAAAGTGAAATGCAACAACTTTGCTAATGCAAGACGTGGAATCCTATTTAAGGTGTACATGGCTGGGTTTACCTGACGGTGCTGAACTTGAGGGAGTACTTTCCTCCACTCTGGATGATGGCAGGGTAACACATGTCCAGCTGGGAGGTGTCCACCCCGGTCACATACTTCTTGTTTTGGAGGGCCTGCTCCACACCGTCAGCCAGCTTGGAGTGCTTCACTTTCTGTAGACAAAACATATTTATACATTCAGTATTAAGTAGGGGTGTCGCGATATGCGAACGTATCGATGCATCGATACATTTTTACTGACGATACGATACGCGAAACATGCTTGCGTGTATCGATTCTTATTTTAAAACTTTATTGATTCAAATTTTTATGCTATATCCATCTCCTTCAAAGTCTTGATAGTAAAATTATACAAGACCGCTCCGATAAATAGATGTAGCGAAAATTATGTATCGCGCGTCGTATCGTGACCTTAAAATCGTGATATGTATCGTATCGTGAGATTGGTGCATCGTGAAACCCTAGTATTAAGAGTTTTATACAGTACATTATCAGTACTTGGAGACAAAGAAATGAGGATTCTTGTTTTAAAAATGAAGTCCTTAGAACATATTTGTGTTTGTTAGGTGTGATCTAGCTTTACAGAACAAAAGAGTGACTAGCAATGAAAATGATGCTTCCGTTCATTCTAAGAATCAATCAGCTACAATGATCACCAATCAGTATTTTACAACTAATTAAACAAACGCAGACCACACCTTGTCACAAAAAGATGAAGTGTGGTAGCAATTGGCTCGGTTTCTAGTATTAATGTTTTATCCCCAATACACGTTTTTAGCAAAGGTTACAGAAAGAATTTCTCACTTTCTCAGCATCGATGATCTCCATGATGCTCTCCTTGAGGTACTTCTGGAACACGTCACAGGTCACCTGACACGCCTTCTGTATCGTCTTCTGCTCAGGCTCTTCTTCGGGCCATGATGTACGCCATCGGCACGCTGATGTCCGACTAGAGTGGAGATGAGGCACCAGTGTACGCTAATTCTGCTATTGTGGGAGTTGGTTGGGAACCTACACTATTACATTAGTATTGTAACAGTTTCCAACTCTTGGAATATATTATTGAAATGGTTGTAAACCAATGTTGAGGCTTGATAATTATATCAATCAAGTGATAGAAATAAATAAAGTATTGTCCGCAATGTCAAAGTTGGCCATTTCACTACCTGTTGAAACTCATAACAAAAGGAAGTAACTCAAACCAGAGGTAATTCCATCAAATCAACACACAGCAGTATATAAATTCAGCTGAGTTTTCTGACATGAAATTTATGCTTCATTTCCTTATATCAACTTCTTGAAACCAGTTGCTAAGGTCAAAGAAAGCATGTGTTCAGGTCACTGCACAAATCTTACAAAGGATTAAACTTGCAACAACCATGCTGACTACTGCATACATTTCTCTCCAGAACTCTCAATAATAGACCCTGCCTCAAGAGTGACACATTTGACTTCCTGCAAATGTTGGGAGGGACAGTGGGGCAGTAGGGTAGCCTAGTGGTTCAAGCAGTCGCTCATTACATTGAAGGCCCAGGTTTGATTCCACACATTGGTACAATGAATGAAGCAGATTTCTGTCCATTGCTGGAATATTGCTAAAATCGGTACACCATACCCACTGACTCACTGTAAACAACGGTATACACACCTTCTCAAAGCCGGCTGTCTTAAGCACTGCCCTCCAGTCATTCATGAAGTCCCCAGGGAATTTGTCTTTGCTGAACTCTCCTACTGTCTTGCCCTGTCACAGATATGAGTCAACATGCTGAAGTTTAAACATTTCTCATGATTTGATCAACAAAATACTCACATTTTTTCACTATGAACAACCTTCTTCAAAGAGATATCTACTGGTTGGCTGACCAGTTTTTGTTTGTTGCTTAACGCCGCACTCAGAAATATTAAAGCCGACCAGTATTTCAGTTAACGCATCGCAGATATCATAAGTATAAAAAATACTCTAACACATCATGTAATTTCTACAAGTGTTTTATCATAGGTATGAAGGGCAATACCTTTCTGCTGTCGTTGATTGATGCCGTCAGTTTGGCAAAATTAGCTTTGTCTTTGTCCGCCTGAAAACCAAAAATCGAGATAATCATTATTTGTTTGGTTACAGATCAATCTTAGTGTTATTGATTAATAACTACATACATATCACTGTTTAAGTCTGACCAATTTATTTCTATAGCTTTGTCAGGTGAGCTAGACATCATCAGATCCTGTTCCTAAATACATAAGGCCAAATAAATGTTGTGGTTCTGATTACACCTCTTTAAAATTTAGAGTAGGTAGGTAGGAATTCTTTTTATTTTTACAGTTTTTTTAAGAAGTAAAGTACGAACTAATAACACATTTATCAATGTGTAATTGTTTATTCAATCAAGCTTGTGGGCATCATGTCGACTTTCTTTATCAGAATGACCAATGTCCGTTGGTGCCAGGAAAAATCAATGGTATCTGAAAGCGTATTGTATTCATACCTCTAAAAAACTAGGGTCGGCACCAGAATTCAAGGGTCTGTCAGGTAATCAGAACCACAATATTGTCAAATCGTAGCTTGCGTACCGGTGGATAGATAAAATAACTGAAGTATTTTGAGAGGTTCTATTTCAGGACATAAACTTGACAACTTGCAGTCTCTTATAGTTTCTCATATTACAGATCAATTGTAAATCACAAACACAAACATTTAAACTTTATTATATTTTTAAAATTAATGGAACATGCCAAAATACCCAATTGATTTTGAGTGAGGTGAGAACAATTTATTTGGTTACTCAAAGGAAAATTATGACAGCCAACTGAGATGAATACAAGTGAGTACATAATTCAATGACCCAAAAAGTTATCTGTAGCTCTGTAATTGCCAGCACACAAAGTCAGTGATCTAACCCACTTAGCCACCACAGCTTCCACAAAGCACTATGTCAGGTGAAGGAACATAACCACACAATCACCTTGTCTCTTGTGAGAAGTTTGATCGGTGGTACACCCTGGTCATTCTCCTTTGCACTTTCCAGTTGACGCAGGAAGTCAACTCGTAACCAAACAGCCATGGAAGTCAATCTTCTTTTGCTTTCGCCAGGATGTAAATTCTGCTCTCGCAGAACACAATTACTGTGTCGGTCAACTCGTAACCAAACAGCCATGTCTGCAACAACAGATGGATACTAATCATTCACATATCAGTTACTAGTCAGTGACAACATTAGTCCCTTAACTATAAGTTAGTCAATACGTGGATTTAAGGATGCTGTTACCTGTAGAGCTGTCGACTTGGAGTAGACAACATCTTCATCCACACCGACTGCTGTTACAATGGCATCTATCTTTGCCAAGCTGTCATCTCCTGAAGATTGCTGAAATGAAAGAATAGCTTTTAAATGGGTTGTTTCAAAGTAATGATAGCATCTAAACATACATCAACATCTCGCCTGGAAATAAGAGCGAGAAACAGTACTGACTTGAGGCTTTAATCCAAATCCCCACCCTAGTATTTTACTGTTCATTCTAAAAAGCCAAGCTAATAAGAGTACATAAAATAACACTAATTTCCACTAAAACAATGCTAATCCTAAGTTTACACTGGCTGTCCATGATTTGTATATTGGAGCCTGTAGCCATAGCAACCACAATGATGTCGTAAAATGGTGTAATGTGAGCAGCCCAGCCATGAGCTATTGAAGTAAAATAGTCATCATGGTCATCAAACCAATGTTTAGCCTTATGTCTTATCCTCTGCATGTTCCAAAGAATATACTTGAGGGTCGAAGCAGAAACATGACAATAGTCTCAAACACTTTGGTAGAGAAAGATATTGTTATTTTGAGTTGTTTTCATTTGCTTGATGCTTTTAGATGCTGTGGCAATAACATTTTGTACTGGGTCATACATATTAGTAGAAGTAGAAGATCATGGATGCTCCAAATAAGCTAACATGTTATATTCACATGTAGCATTCACTACAACTGTGTAACCAGTGCTATGAGAGGTTCTACCTGTGAAGGTTTGGGTTAGAATGAACATTCAGTAACCCATGCTTGTTGTAAGAGGCGACTAACGGGATCGGGTGGTCAGACTCGCTGACTTGGTTGACATATGTCATCGTCGGTTCCCAATTGCGCAGATAGATGCTCATGCTGTTGATCACTGGACTGTCTGGTCCAAACTCGATTATTTACAGACCGCCGCCATATATAGCTGGAATATTGCCGAGTGTGGCGTAAAACTAAACTCACTCACTATGAGAGGTTCAGTAAATGGACATTTATTCAATCTTACAATTTTGTGGAAGTGCTGGGGAATATCAATGTAGTGTTGGATATTTATCGCCGCTGTCAGCAATTTTTAAAATGCATCACAACTACCTGAGTTAATGTCTCTGGGCCAGGCTAACTATTGGCTGATACAAACAGCAGCCATGCAGGTACGATGACACATGATCAGGCAAATTCCCTGTCTGACACCACCCAATTTAATTTTGTCACCTCACAATCAAGTGCTGGGAACCTATTCTATGCCTGGTCTCCATGGGGATAATGTGTTTTGTCAATTGACATTGAGACTATAATTGGGGGAACAGATCTATGTTTATTTGATGTTCTGGGGAAAGATACTAGTGTCCAACCCCAGAAAGAACGGAATTCCGATTTTTTTCCAGGAGTTTATTCCATTTCACAAAAGTTACATAAATGCAATAAATAATTTCATATTTGTCATACAGGCATAATGTTCACCTTCGACCTCAACATCAATAGCAGTTCAAACTGGCTGAAACTGGTCGATACGCTTGTGTCAGCACTTTTAATCAAACCAAGGAGCATGACACTGACATGGACGACCAATTTGACGTTGTTATTGTTCAGTTAGAGCCAAAATATCACGTGCTTCTTTGGATTTAGAGGTGTTTAGACGACACAGAAGTACAAATACTGTATCAAAATAACAATGCAAAGTCTGATTCGTAACTTACAGCCCAAGAGGTATAAATCCTCTTCATTCGCCTGTAAAAGGCGTCTTTATCCACACGCAAAGACATCGTAATGATGTTGCCTTCGCTGATATGGCGGATATTTCAAGACGGCGGGAGAAAAGGTGCTTCCGGTGCTGCTATGTTAACCTGATGTTGATTGGTTTATATTTTGTGTAATATTCAAGACAGCTTTCCCAATTGGTTGAATTAATGCTTCCGTAAACATCATGGCGGTGTGTGTAGCAGTAATTGCGAAGGAGGTGTGAAGAAAATCTTGAATGTTTAAGTGTGATTAATTCTGTTAGTTTAAAGGCGCTGTATTTCAGTAAGACGTCTATTTCAGCTGTCCCGGTGGCTAATATCGAGTTGTTTGTGTATTCAATGTAAATTTCATGTTAAAGGAAGCCCCAATGTCACCGGCCCGGCAGTGCTTCAGCCAGGCAAGTGCCATTGCACACTAAAACATATGCAGTGGCACTTTTTTCAATGCTAGAGCGTACCCATTGGTACAACATTTAGTATAATCCACAGGTCTTCTATACCATGGTTACCATGAATGGCAAAATTCTCAACTGCATTGGCACATTTTAGTAGTTAAGGTGCCAATTGGCAACACTAACAAAAATCCTGGCTTTAGCACATTATGTGAACAGTTAGTTTACAGTTACTAAGTGCAACTCGGCAACCGCTGCACTATTGATCCAGATTAGGCAATACAGTACAACTTTAAGAAAAGTTTGCAGCTAAATGAACCCACAAAATGCTGAAGGGGTGGATGTCAGCAGGGTTACTACACAATACCATGCCCTCATATGATTCCGTGGTACTTACGTTTCTGTGGTATTTTCTAATGACATAATTTCTCACGAGCCACTCACCAAATTGTGCCACCTATCGATTGTTTACGTTCATCAGTCGATGGGCACGGCTCTGAGCAAAAAATGTTCAGACTTTGATCAATTTGCGTACGTACAGTCATCTACTATTAAAAACTAATGCAACTTTATGTCTAGCACGTAATGCACTTTTTGTGCGATCTTTACAAACATTTTCTATCAACTTATTCAGCTTCCAAGTTTTCCAAACATCGCTCGTCTGCAAGCTGATGTCATCAATAAAAACAATCACGTGACCTAAGGGGAATCCCAGCTCTATTTTTTAAACTATGGAAGCCCGATAGGGTCATCTCTTAAGTTGTTTTTTCACTTTTCATTTCACGTATCCCGTTGATCGACTCTACATAGTTTATGAACTGGAAATGTATGCTGAAGAAATGTGACTATTGTGTTAACTCTACGAAATCATTTACTGTATTACAATTTATCAACTTCGTTATTACTGTCAACCTACATTGACACTCACGGATTGGCTGTTGACAACGTGTGAGATTGTGACATGTGCTGTGCGCCCGTAATTTGATCTGTAGGAAATACCACGGAAAAATATGACGTCACCAGTTTTTATGCACAATTGCCGCCTGTCGTCCGATACGGACAACAATGAACTTCAGAATGACAAAAGTGTTTTATTGACATTAAATGATACAAGGTATGTCGTCTAACACTATGTTGTGTTTATATGACTTGGCAATATGAGCGATTGATTCATAGTCGTAAATGTCTTAATACCACGGAAACCCATGACGCGAGGGTATATGTACCCCACGTACCTTAAAATTTCTGCATACAGAAATGTACCCTAAACAAAGTCAAAGTACCCTAAATGTCAGACGAGCCCATATTCCGCAACCCAAAACCGAAAATGGATGTGCAAATGTAGTTGTTCCCTTTCAAATGATTGCAGGTGGTATTGTGCATCGCGAGATATTCATTACTATGTATGTCCGTTTCTTATATAACGCAGTCAAATGCATTTAATACAACAGTATGACAGTTTCAGATCAAGAAAAAGGCGTAATGCAGAATGGACTCATCTTTGGGTACATTTCTGTATTTTGATTTTGGGAAGGATATGTTTCGGTATACATTTGTAGTACCCGTGCCGACAACAACCTTTTCTGCCCTACTAGTAGTCATGATTTGACATTTTATCCATCATGTTATTATCCAAACTGATTTAGGCACGATTTTACTTTTCTATGTTGGAGGAAATAATGGAAGTATATATCTCCATTTAATGATTACAAGCAGCAGTGAAACTTACATGTCCTGTTCACCATTAATTATGTTTGATATGCTTATTGCTCCATATAGTGATATACCTGTAGGCTATACATATATCTCAAAGCACATAACAGAACAGAACAGAACAGAATTTTATTTCAGTAACAGGCCTCCGGCCCAAAATACATGTACATAAATTGATGATAAGTAGAGCACATATATATTTCATTTAGATTTGTGTTTCTTGTCAACAAAGTATAAAAATAGACATACATCCTTGATAATATTAACATTTTTACTCTGTAATATTGATATAAAATTAATAATTGATGGACATTTACTAAAATATTTTGATATGTACTTATTTCTGATATGAGAATATGCATCACAGATATAAAACACATGCCATTCATCTTCAACAACGAAGATACCATTTAATTTACAAAACAGGCAATGCCTTTCATTATATGCAACATCAGTGTATCTGCCCGTTTCAACTGCTAGTTTAAAATTACAGCACCGAAATCGGGCATATATAGTTTTTAAATATTGAGGGATATCATTATTTATCAAGCTGACACCTGTGCACAGCTGCAAAAAAAGATCAATGTACTTGGTAAATTTTGTGAGCAAACTGGTATGAGTGTGAATCTAAAGAAACAAAGCACATAACACCAATAATGGAAGGAGATATATCTGTTATATACAGTAGTATGTTATTGACAAACCATTATCTATTCCCAACAGAGTGTCTTGAAATCACACTTAATCACAAAGAATTTAGAGTAACTGACTCTGCTGAAGGGAAACAGAACTCAAACTCTTAGTCGTCCAGCTGGCACCATTTTAATTAGCCCACATAATCATCAGATGCCAATTAGCATCCGCCACCCAACAAACTGGGTTTTGCACCAGCAAGTATACAACAGATATGTATATATTTTATTTTTGCAACAATGAAGTTCAAATAATCTTCTCAAAACAGTGACAGCACTTTTCCATCAATTTTCATACAATACAACAATTACTGCTCCCTTCTTGTTATCCTTATGTTATCGTATAAGCCCACCACTTGTGTATTTGTCATCATTAAGTTAGTGGTGGAAGCACTTCGATTACCTACACTATGCAAAATAACTCAATACAGTTCACACTGACTCTGAGGGTGTCAAGGCTACATAGCATTCAGTGGTTCACATTTGGTATTTCTCATGTCTGACATAATTATTCAGTCCAAGATAGGTTTATTAAAACGTTTGATGTGTTGAATGTATTGCATGTTATGTAGCATGCCAGTGGAAGTGCAGTAAAAGAGGAATGAGTACCGGTAGTTGAGTTGCAAAAACTTCAACCAAAGAATTACTCGATTGATTAATCACTCTACAGTGGACTTTAATATATAGGTTCAAGTCTTAGTTTGGCCATACCTCCTAATTGTAGTTCCTTTGTTACAACAGACAGCTTGTCATCCTTCGACAAGAATCTGCATCGAAACCTTGCACTCATGAAATAGAAATTGTTATCCATGAAGTTTGTCAATATTGTAACTCAAAACTTTTTAAATACCGCTCATGAAGATTTTAGGTGATATGTTTATACTCCATAACATCATGCTTGCAATGATGGCATTTAAGAAGTTGGTAGCCGATGGTTTTCAGTTGATGTTCAATCAGAAAATGTCTGTGTCAAATGTATGTTGAATAGTACGATTGGATTGAATGTTGTAAAAAATCAGCGATTATAAAAATCAGCAAACATAATGTGAGAGGTAAAAAAGGGTTTTCTTATCCCAATCTATCTGGATATCTGTTTTACGTTCCTCAGTCATCATGTGACTGAATAGATAAGGTGCCCCAAGTCACTGGTCAGAGTTCTGCCTCTTAGCCATGCCAGGATCTGCTTGTGACTCTCAATATCAATTCTTCTTGAAATAGTTGTCAGAATATTGGCCATGTTATATGTGTTGATGAACAATGCGCCACTGATCTACTATCAACAGGCTTATCAGTTCCATACTTGCTTTGTTAAGCTGTAATGACAGCATGCAGGCATCTTGTTTTACTTCATGAGATGTTTCATTTGTTTCAGAATTATCCCTTGTTCATCAAAACGATGCCAACGGAAAATGAACTCAAGTTTTATTATACTGTTCATACATCACTAGATGTTGTTGAAGAAAAGATTAGCTCTATTGGGAAAAATGCCAATGATCTGCGGGAGCTTTATCTTGGACTGCTGTACCCAACAGAAGATTATAAAGTGTATCCTTTCATAAAGTGCTAACAATCAGACCAGGGACAAAAAAGATGGAATGTCCTTGATGTTTGGAGAGCTGAAGGTCGCTAGTTCCCCTGACTCTACCATTACAAAAAAACATTAGAAGCTAGTACTTGTTGTTACTCTGCCTGGTGCTCTGCATTAAGAGTGAGTGAGTGAAGTGATTGAGTTTTACGCTACATATCATGATGGGGGACACCACAAATGGGCTTCACAGATTGTGGCCGGTTAGGGAATCAAACCCGGGTCTTTGGTGTGATAAGCAAACACATTAGCCACTCGGCTACCGAACCCTCCCCGGCTGTAAGAGGATTAAAGAAGCAGAGGTTCAGATAAGCTGTGTATCTGCGTAAATTGCGCAAAAACTTACGTGAAAACTCAATTCCTATTAAGTCTATTGAATACAAGTACGCTTGAAGTTTTGTAAATACTCAATATATGTGATCTGACATGCGTACACACAAAAATGTCAAATCTTACCTTGCGTACCGGTGGATGGATAAAATAACTGAAGTATATTGAGAGATTCTATTTCAGGACATGAACTTGACAACTTGCAGTCTTATCTTATCGTTTCTCATATTACAGATCAAATGTAAATCACAAATAGTAACATTTAATCTTTATTATATTTTTAAAATTAATGTCAAAATGGCAAACAATCCAATTGAGTTTGAGTGAGGTGAGTACAATTTATTTGGTTACTCAAAGGAAAATTAGGGTACCCAATTGAGATGAAGACAAGCAAGTACATAACTCAATGACCCAAAAAGTTATCTGTAGCTCTGAAGAAGGATTTGGTATCTCAGGGTGACTATACTGTGGGGTACACACGTTATACTGCAACACAGTATCTAAACTTGACCAATATTGACCACGCCAGTGCAGACATATTGATTGTTTTGTTGTCAGTATCCTCCTTGACCCTTGTCCAAGTTATGGCTATGTCACAAACACCAAGGTGAAGTTTGTTGTGGTTGTGGAGTCATCGAACCTCACCCTAAGGGACAATGATATTCGAGGGGTAAGTCACTCAGCAACATAATACAACTTCAATTTTCAACTAGCTGAAAATTTAAAACCAACATTTCACTCAAGAGGATTGATTCAATAATCTAGCCTTTGCTCTATCTTTCACATAAGAGCAAGTCTGATGCTGCCACAATACATCAAACCAACTTGATACACTATATTGTATTTGGGATTACACTTTCTTATTAAAGAAAAACCTCGAGTGTGTTTTTTTGGATAAAGTCCCTTTCAGGATTCGAACCAGAATTCCCAGAGCAAGGCACCTACCTTTCGGGAACTGCGAGGGCTGGACAAGGCCATGCAAACCATGCGCCGATCGCTCGTGGACAACGTAGCCAAACTGGACGCACTCGATGAGCATATCACTCGTGAAAAAAACAAACTCGACGAAGCGGAGGACCAGTTCAGCCGACGTCGGATCGCCGAAAGACTGCGCAACTTGGAAGAGGAAAGATCGACCCGATTTGAAGTGGCGTCCTCCTTCCGAGACGAGGTTCGAACCCAGATCAGCCGCGTGCGTGAAACCATCGACCGAGTGTTGAACAAGTCACCACGTTGGCCGACAGGATCCGAAATCTGTTCAGGGAACAAGGGATCACCATTGCCAGCGTTCTGACGGCTTTGGGCTTCATCGTATCGACCCTAGTCCAGGGGCCCAGATAAGCTGCGTATCCGGGTAAAATACGCATAGAATTACGCATTGAAAAATAATTGTTGCGTATCAATTATGCATTTAAAATGTTAGGTACGCAGAAAGTTTAAAACAAATGCGTACAGAATATATTTATAAAAATCGCTTGCGTAATGAAAAAAGACATCGATTGCTATCAAGTTGTACTGTTAGTATAGGATAAGTGTTGTACTGTCAGTATAGCATGAGTGATTTTTTATGAAATCATTTCCATTATATTTAAGTTGGATTTGATTGCCGCCTCGTTTTCCATTGACTGCTATAGTCCGTTTGGCTCAAAAGCGGACCGATGAATTGCAATCTAACTCGAAAACTAATAACCATAAAAATAAAACACTGATCATAATGAAAACGTCAGACCAACTCTGAGAGGTGTTTGGCGAATTTATGTCCTAAAAATAAAAAAGTTGTTAAACAAACTATCATTAAAATATCGACACAGTTCACTATTTGTTACGAGGGAGGAGTGCAGAGAAAGGGACAGCCGGGTGTGCGAGAAAGGATGGAGACGGCACAGCACAGGTTAATGAATCAATAACTTTGTCGGCACTTCTCTAACACCTGGCTGTCCCTTTCTCTGCACTCCTCCCTCGTAACAAATAGTGAACTGTGTCAATATTTTAATGATAGTTTGTTAAACAACTTTTTTAATTTTAGGACATGAATTCTGCAAACAAATCACAGAGTTGGTCAGATATTTTGATTATGATCAGCGTTTCATTGAGTATTATATGTTTATTAGTTTTTGAGTTAGATTGCAATTCATCGGTCCGCTTTTGAGCCAAACGCACTATAGTTTACAGTAACATTGGTTAAAATGTGTGAATTTAAATGGCTTCCGTATTTTACCCCATTCCATGTGCGTATAACTTCTGCTTACCACGTTCATGAGGGTCATATAACCTTAGTGTTGATTATATATATTTTACATAAAAACTGTAATTAAAATTACACAATTCTAGGTTATATTTCTTTGGGTTAAATAATAGTACTCTGTATTATATGTTACTGTCGACTGCGTCAGAATTCGTCCCGTTATATTATTGTGCATGTTTGAACTTGATCGCCGGGAAACATCTGCACAGCTGATTGCTATTTCCGGCTCAGATACACGCAGTAATCTTAATCCCTGCAAATAATACAATGCTCAGCAAAAACAACTTAGAACTTAAAAGGTAAATAATCTTGTCTAGTGATGTTTAATTGCAAGTTTGACGTCTCTACTGACAAAGTCGTCTTCTGTTGTTTGTTCACGCGAAGTGATAAGATGTTGTTTTCTTACCCCTGGAAAAAAGTTTGACGAAAGCGTAACCCATGGATAAGACGACCCCCTTCTACAGACTGCTTTTTTGGGGTCCTCAAAATTTGGCTTATAGACGGTAATATATGGTAGATATGACATAAGGCAGAACATACCTGCTTAGTAAACTTACTCAATGGCATATACTTAGGTGAGTAAAATGACTGAAATATGCACATATTTGAAAGCAGTGGGTAACAGAAAAAGAAATACCCACTCAACATTCTTATACGACACCAACACCAACACCACCCAAAAAAGGTGGCGACGCTAGAGACTGGATAAAAAAACAGTTGAAATCGCTCGGGGAAGCCCTGGCGAGACTGGCTGGCAAAGCTGCGGAAGCCCTGCCAGGCATCTTGGGCAGCATCATGTCCTGGTTGCTGGAGTTGTTGTCGAAAACGGTCACGTGGTTCAGCCAGAACCTGTGGGAGGTCGTCGTCGTCGTGGCCGGGCCTGGTGTATGTCGCCGCTAAAGAATTTTTAACCAAATGAGGCACACCCCGACCGCAATCCCGCCGACCATGAGCGCCGTTTTGCGATCGAGGTGTTGCTGATGTTCGACCTCCGTGGTGGTGATAGGCGTGGTGGTGATGGTTGAACGCTGGGCTCTGGTGCTGGTGGCGGCGTAACGATCCCCGTTTCACCGGTATGCGTGGGTGGTGGGACTCGACTCACGTTGGCACCGGGATTGATGCCCAAGTTTTGATCGGTGGTCGCGATGACAGTTTCATTGTTGTAGCCCACCACTTTGTGGATCCTCAGTCACATGTCGCTCGGAGCCATGTACAGTCCCACGCCGAACACGTAGTCGACTTTTGACTGGGCGTATTCCAACGTGTCCTGGTAACGCCAGATGGCACTCTGTAAATCCACCGGTCTGGCGATGGCGCTCCTCTACGTTCGACACGAACTGGTTCTGCGCGTCGTAGGCCAGGTCCCTTGACCCACGATGCCGGAACAGCGTTTGCAACTGCGCGCCCAGCAGCGCCCACACGTATGTTCGAATCATTCAACCGTACTGTGCCTGCGCCGAGTGAACCCTTTCGACGTGTCCAGGATAAATAGTTTCCAATCGTCCGCGGGTCCCTGCTCAAACCTCCAAACGTGATAATCCTTGCTGTCGTCAAAAGCCATGAGATCATCTCTCCACTTGTTACTCGTGACGTAAGCATTTGCATACGTTTTACCACCACATTCTGTCAACTTCTTGCTGGCTTCTACGAGGGGCATGTTGTGAACGATAGGAATACCCAAACCAAGATTCACGCCTGGCAACGCCAATCCGTGTTCAGATCGATTTCGAAAATCGTCGCAAATCCGTTAGTAAGCCCGCCGATTGTACGGATTGTTCATCGCATTCCGCGCCTTGTCCTGCGGAATTTGGGTGTTGATTTATTTCAGGATGCGTCTGATTTGGTAGTACACGTGGAAATAGAACACGGACCGACTCAGCGCATCACGACAAGTGTCGTTCAAGGTCACGCTGCATCCGGTCGTCGCACACCACATGGCAAAATTGAATTGATTCGGCCAGAATTGCATCGGGTTGTTAAACCATGCGTGGACTGCCTTGACGTTTGTGACCGAAAGCCCTATACTTTTCAAATACATCAATAAATCGAGCTCGAAAGTGGGAATCCTACCACGATTTCCATGTGCGTGAGATTGGTAGCACTTAAATTATCACTTTTAGGATAAATCACTCCAGGCTGGTACTTGGCTGTAGCCATATTGAATTATTATTCGTAATATCCTCAACCTAAAAAATAATGGGATTCTACTGGGAAGTTTTATTCCGTTTCATAAAAAGGGGAATGTACGCATCACCATTACCAGATCAAACAGGTTATATGCTAGTCCCTCACTCGGAAGACACAACGAAATGGCTCTATTTAAAACGATATAGTGAAGTCCCAGACTCATGGATCACTGTGATACCAGGTTCTACGCTTATTATCGAGATCGTTCTTGGAAATGCCTCCGGACCAAGGGTGGGACTTCTGCCTGGGTTAAACATATGCTGGCACGATCGCCATAAACATAAACGCTGTCATATTTATGTACAACTAGGAACAGCTTCCACCACAAGCCTCGAGGGAGTCGAGGTATTTATTGGAGATGAAATTTAACTCAACCAGATTTATGCACCCGAACACGTGTACCTCATCAGCTTAAAGTATATTCTTCAACGATTGACGGAGGACCAATTAAATATTTTTTTTGTAAACTATACATAAATATAGTGCAAGATGGGATTGTATCCGGCCATGGATGACGTGGCTCAAAAGCTCGAAACCGTGGATGGATTTCGTTTGCGACAGATCAGCGACATCATACGCCAACTGGAACGAGAACGTGACGTGCACAAAAAGTACCATCGGGCTGTCAATGCCATCGACGGTGTGGACACGGCCCTCGTGGTCGCCGGCATGGGACTCACGGGTGCCGGCATCGGCTTGTTGTCGACCATCGTGGCCGCCACAGAGGGCTTTTGCTATTTTTTTATTTGAACTTGCACATCGAAGGATGGCTCTCGATATTTTTTTAAGGGGGGCTGGGGGACTTAGTTCCCACAAAGAAGCCTCTAAGCTGCATCTGCGGTAGTACACACACGCACACACACTAACACACACTAACACACTACCACACTACTCATTAGTTGCCTCTTACGACAAGCATGGGTTACTGAAGGTTCATTCTGACCTGGAACTTCACGGGTTCTCAGCCACAAGAGCTTCCAGAACATGGGAAGTCAGTAACTGGTATTTCAGATCACATACTTTACTCTTTTATAGAAACCTCTTTAGAAATTTTTGTATTTAACACGTCCATCATTACTATATTGTCAATATAACTGTGCCATTGACACTAGGGATGTCACGATACATCGATACTTTTTCTAAGACGGTACAAGTATCAATACATTCAAAACTGTATCGATATTTAGTTTTGAAAGTATCGGTTTATATATGTTTATGTATCGTTTACATTTTGCAATTGAATCATGTTTTTTGATGTTATGAGAGTTATTCATTATTTTACATGCACAAAGATGGGAAATTAGAACTTTGTAATCTCTGAAAATAAAAAATGTTGATCTTCTCATGGACAATTATAAAATATGAAATATTAATGTTCAAAATGTAACTAAATTTATGTAATAATGCTGCAAAAATAGATATAGTGATATGTATCAAATCGTGACATGGGTATCGTGATATGTATCTATTCATGAAACTCGTGACATCCCTAATTGATATTTAATGGTAGGAATCTTGAACTCTTGACATGTGTTTCAGATGTTTCGGAAGCTCCACCACGCCTACGTTGACATGCTGTGCAATCCCTTTTACAACCCTGGAGAAAACATCACATCCAGGTAGAGATTGGTTTTGTCAGTAGACAGGGCTGTAATACAATGAACAAATTGAATTAATTGAAAAAATGAAGTTATGATTAGATTTTGGTTTCTTTCTCTAAATTTATTGTAACATTAAGCCTGCTAAAAGCAGTTTTTTACTTCAAAACAGTATTCTTTTCATTAACAATAAGTTTAAATCTTCAATATAAGAACAGTTAAAAGACTGAATTAATTCTGAAATGTGTATGGGGTTTCTTATTTTCTGCTGCAGGAATTTTGAAAATGTTGTGATTTCCATGATGCAACAAGAATAGTCTCGCACCAGTCATTACCCTGTGGATCAGTGGAGTCGAGAGGCCATAAACGTACATTCCAGCTGATTGTGGAGTTCAAGTCAGAAGTGAAGGTGCTGGGCACTTTGTAGTGTACTTGTCAAGCGGAACATCTCCTGACTGTATGTAACTAGTTGCTGACTGGCTGGGGTGTTGAATCATTCTGTGGTATCAGTAACAATCTGCACAACAGCTGCAAACAACTAAAATGGTCCAATTAACCAAGTGGTTTTTCAAGTGGTACTATTTTTGACTCAACCAAGACCCCACAATATTCCAAACACTCACATTTACTGTAGTTTACATCAAACACAGAATGAATTATAATTTCTTTTTTGAAAAGGCCTACATACAATCCTGTGTTTAAATTCAATTTATTCAGATTATTTGTAACAGGGCTAAAGATGTCAAATATCAAATGTGTCCAAACTTATAGAATTTGCTGATCTTTAATGTATACCAGTAGATATTTATTTGTAATGAAGAATGATTACTAAGGGACCGTTCATAATTTATGGCCTGGGTGTGTGTGTGTGGTTATGATGATTTATATGGTGAAGCATGTACAATTTGAATGAACCCCCCTAAGATTTATGTACAATGTAATTGACCCCCCTGCATGTCATGTACAAAATCAAGAACACCCCCTTCCCATTTTTGAATATTTACATGTACAAAACAGCTGACCCCCTAGAACACTTGTACAAACTTGATGACCCCCTTATCTTCCCTGAACAAAATGGGTGACCACCCCTTAAAATCATCATCACGCCCCTAGCCATAAATTGTGAACAGCCCTAAGGTTACGGATGTCCCTGGACAGAGACAGGCTGTAGACATCAGAGAATGATATGAGCAGTGATTGTCAGAACATTGTGTACAGTGTTGCTGACTGTTTTGTCTTGTATGTAATGTGTGCAATAGTCTCTTCTTAAGAGAATTGTAAATATACTTGTTTCATATCTGTCTTTTTTTCTTCTTCGATATGAGCGATCAGAATGGTTTGTATATTTGCAGACACAATGTTCTTCCAGTTGCTCTGTAGACTGATGTGCCATGTTGACTTCAGCTGACACTCAGATACACTGAGATACCCAAGGGGTGGTGGGGTAGCCTAGTGGTTGAAGCGCTCGTCACGCCAAACATCGGGTTCGATTCCCCATGGGTAAAATGTGTGAAGCCCATTTCTGGTGTCCCTCGCTGTGATATTGCTGAAATACTGCTCACTCACTCACTCACTGAGGTACCCATGTACCATTATGACTTGGACACTCACTCATTAACATCCACTGTTGCTATGCTGAGAATTGTACAATGAATTTGCTTGATTTGCACGCAAACATCAACTGAGTTGATCAGCAGACACTATACCAGGATGACCAGGGTCATCACTAATGTCTGGAAGTTGCTTGAGCAGGTCCTTGATCTATGATGATATGGCCTGAACCCGTGAAGGTCCAGCTTAGAATTGTCCTCAGCAACCCATGCTTGTCGTAAGAGGCAAATAATTGCTGGGATCGTTGATTTTGGTTAAGGCTTGTTGACACTCCAATTGTGTGTAGACACATGCTCAATGGTATTCCAATTGTGTAGACCTAGCTCATGGTACAATGTGTGAATTTCTGGTGTCCTCCACCGTTATACTGCTGGAATATAGCTAAAAGTGGTGTAAAACTCACTCACTACACCATCAAGCACAATCCAGGTAAAACATGACCTACAATGAAGAATTCGGACATTGCCAGGGGATGTAACTCTGCATACAACGCTGCCCCAGACAGCTGCTCTTGCCAAGCCCCTACAAGGTATATTACTGTTGACAACATACAACATAGCAGCTTGGGATATGATCTTTATTCAGTTTCTGGTTCATATACATGGTGAGTGGCCACATACAGAGATTCACTCTGACAGTTGGTCATCGAACAAAAATGTGTTTAAAATGCAAACAAATAATGGACACAACACTTGATGATTGAGCTGATTGTTGGATCAAAATTATAACAAAATTAAACATATAAAACACCAGCCACCAATAGTTGGGAGCTCTTGAGCTGTATTTTCATTGGGCAAGGTGCCAACTGAAAGTTAGCAATGACCAACCATGACACCGAGTGTTTTGTAATGATCAATCAGAGCTCAATACATGTGTCACTTCTATCAATGCTACACAAAGGAAAAAAGGCAATGGCTGATAACAAGATATGTACATCTGATATATGGGAATATTCAGTACTATTTGAGTGTCATATAAACACATTTCCAGGAATAGTTCATAGAATTCCTGTGTACAAACCACTTCACCTGGCATTGTCAAGGAATGGACAGACGGAGGAGTTCAATGGAGCACAAGCTCCCGTTAAGGCAGAGGAATACAAGTCCACACAGCGCTGATTCCTTAGTTGGGTCCATTAATAACAGTCTGTGAAAATACTCTGTGTGGCATGCACTAATACTTCCTGTTAACTGCCTTTTTGATCAGACTTTACATCTATCACTGAGATTCAGTCTTGTAATCACTATACTTGGGTCATACTTTTCCCTGGCTTAGGTGGCCTACACAAATATTGATTACGCACAGCTCAGAGACAAATTACTTTGAATCACCGACTTATTACCTTATTTTATTTATTACAAAATACTAGTATGTGCATATTTCACAAATATTTAACACAGAACACTTAAAGGTAATGTATTGCATGAAGCACAGCAGATCTAGCAGTGTTTATACATCAAGCGGTGACCTACACGAAGTTGTACTATCACTTCAGCTTCAATATCACAAGACAGGTGGTCCTTAACTTATATCAATAAATAGCTACAATACAGCTCACACTTAGCATGAGGACATGGTTCATGCTTCTCCCATACCACACAGACCTAATCTGAGGTAGCTGACAGTTGTGTTCATATTTAGTATTGCAACTGACTCAGTCGTTATCTACCTGCACAATAATTGTCATGAATTTCATTTAGGGATACCACTTATATAACTCTTCAGATTCATGCAAATTTTGTGAATTTTTAATAAGGTATGATATCTGTTTAATTCCTTTCAAAATCAAACAAGCATTTTTCCACATGTTTAAAATCAAAGATATTTCATGACGTGCAATATTTACATTAATATGAATTAACTAAATATTTTGAGCATAAAATCGAAAGAAACAGCAAATAAATTGAAGATGGTAAAATGTTTTCAACCAAACAAGGATAAAATATCATGGGTAAAATACACAATTGTGCAACATAAATCATAGCTCCTAGGTCCTGATCCAAGAGTTCTTCATGTCCCACCAGTGGAAAGTTTGGCATAAGGACTTCAACACAAGACAGTGAGTGCCAACATTAATACTGATTGTATACTATCAACTTTCTAGCAAGTTTTGATTAAGTATATCTACCATGCAATTACGTGTGCAAGGTGGTACAGGTTGTTTGTCTCCTGCTAAGCCACTGTAATAAAATCACAAATACATATTTCACATTCTGATAGACAATATGAAACATTTTGGGGCTTATGCATAATAAAAAGTATATGGAATGATTTGGGATCAATACTGGACATTGTGGCAAGATCTCTAAACTGACGTTTGAATATAACTCGAACAAAAAACTTGAGACATTTCAGTTGCTGTTTTCTAATTATTGCTTGTTAGCTGTCTGTACATGCACGTGTTAGTAATCAAATATATCTACTCAAATGTACATCACATCCACCTCAACATCACAAAATCAAGCTCTGTAAAAGTATTATTTTTTTGCTACTTTTTCATTGAAAGATATTGGTAGTATTTACATGTCCAATGAAGCAGTTTTTTAATACAGCTTATATTTCATGTGTTTGTGGGGAGACTGTTATATCCTGAGACTGGAGGTACAGAGTAAAATGATTTCCAAGTGCTCACAACATCAGAACTTCCTAACGACCTACCACCGCTACCCTGTGTTCAGAGAATTATTAAGTTATTTGAAACAGGATTCAGTGGTTACCATGACTTTCACTTCTATAACAAATCCCTCCCCATATAATGTGATACTATACTTCAGGAAAAAACCTACATCATCTTACCAGAAGGAACATATGATCTGAGGACATGACATTCAGTTGTCATATTACTGTAACATTGTTCACCCATTGACATCTGTAATCATTTTTTAAGGGTATAACATGTTATTTTCGATAAATGGAAGATTTAATTCAGACCAGGAAGTAGTACCACAGAGTAACCTGAGAGACATGTCTACCTCGGATGTGACTGCTAAACCCATCTGAACAATTACGTGACTTCAATAATTTCTCAAAATACTGCTCAACAAAAGGTAATGACTCATGAAATTCATATTTTGGGGTTCGACTGAACACAAAATCAAGTTACTAATACCATGATAAACATGCAATGCTGGTCACTGGATGCAGTCTATGGGGGTCTAGATCGAATGATGTGTTATTGAGTGATGTTTATTGTATACAACACACACACATAGATACGTGGCAAATACTGGGACACGGGTGAGGTGAAGACTTAGGGGGTGTAAGTGCATATGGTTACATAGGACATAATTTGACAACAGAATTCATGTGGAATTTGGTTGGTCATAATGCGGAACCTACTGGTGTTTACCTGACGAGTCTCATAAGGAACTTTAACTCAAGCCAGATGACATAAGTAACATTCTGCCTTATCATGTACACGTACCAATGACAAGTAACTGTCAACTGTACAAACCTTCCTATCAACAAATACACTGTACAATCAAACTATTTCATACAAATGAATAATAATCGTCCACATCAAAGAATCATCTGGGAGTGGGTACACATTCAGAGACACTCAACACATTAACATACACAGTAATATATGTTGCGTTCATGGTCATATTAAATTAAACATGAAGAATAATAACTTGAACAACAAGTAATAGCACTTTCTTCTCCAGTCAAGGCAAGTTTCAATCAAAATCAAACCGTACATACATTCGCAGTAGGTATAAACTTGGAGATAGGGTGGATAAATGCCATAATATTGGGCCATGTGCCTTAAACCAGACAGGACCAATATCACAACAGAAGACCTTACTTATAATTGCCATAACAGCAAACAATTTCATGTACTGAAAACAAAATGCTATCTTTCACATAAAAAGGTATTAGTTAACTATGGCAATAAAGACCAAATAACTGGATGATGTTCAGTGGCTAGTTTTCAGCCATGTTAAATATTTCATTACATATACTGACCAGCAATAAAAACGCAACTCATAATTCATGAAAATTATACTTTTTCAGCATGAGTTTAGAGCTGGATCAATGGAATAAATTGTTTTGATTTCTTGAATTGCGTTTCTTTTGCTGGTCAGTATATTTAACCTAGACAATAGTGATTAGAGTTCCTGCTGGAAATACCAGAGCATGAGATGCATGGCTGAATATCAAAATGCATGTATAGCTGCATATCCAAGGTATACTTAATGGCTGTACACCTGTCTACAAGCAGCACGTATAGAGGTCATTCCACAAAATATAGCGACTAAAATTCAAGGTTTTCTAGTATGTCACAGAACTTCTCACACAGGCACCAATAATGTCCATAAAATCCCACGACAAATCCACATCTCTTAACACACACTATAACACCTTGCATTCATTTCCTCTCCACAATTAACCATATTAAATACCCTTGTTAAAATCTGTACATTGCCAAGTCAGCGATGACTGGCAACAAAATGCTCTGTAGTAAAATAACATTTGATCACTGACGCCTAAGACACATCCATATCAAAAGCAGAAGTCAGCCTCTGCCATGTCTAAGGCCCACCGGAACTTGTCCCTCTGGGTCTTGTTGTAGATCTTCTCAACAGGCACATTCCACTTCTTACACCTGGGGGGAGGAAAGGGAGATAACTGCATTAAACATGTGTTTAGCATGTGGTATGAAAGCCTACAGATATACATGTCTTTGACATTTGCCACTTACATGAAATACACAAGCACAGCCAGAGTGTAGAATCAGAGGCAGGGCATATACAAAATTCAAAGGATAGGATACTGGCATCCCCAAGAGACATAACCAACAAATACACTTATATTTTACCATGTTTACCCAAATGAGGGCATTACTGGCACGAGTACTACACAGGCACGAGCCCAAGCATCCACCAAGGTTGCTATCCAATACAGGCTATCTCTGACATGACTGAAGACTACAAACCATCAAGACAGTTTCAAGCTGGGCCCACTTGCAGAAATGTAATTTTCTGACTAAAATTGATATTTTATACTTATCCTGACTCATGCTAATTATGCTTGCAGAATCCGTCGAAAACGGTGGTGGGTCAGGCCACGTTCTGGATTCACTGGTTGTAGATTTAGGTCCTGTATTACCCCCCTTGGGAACTTGGTTCTGTTCTTTCAACTTCTCTCTGATGAGTCTGGGGGACCACAACTTGTCAGATTTCTTCCGAAACTTCTCCTGACATTTTCGTGTGGATTTTAGATATACTAATATTCCATTAGTTATCTATTGCAACTCCATCTCTTGATGCGCGCATCAAGTGGAGATGCGACCCTTCTTCATGTACGAGTATGTCCTATACAAGTACAGGGTCTATGTTGTGACTGTATTTTTCAACTTTATAATCTTTACTGCAGTCGTCATCTTATACAGATGTTCTGTAAAGTTGACCGTAACCGATGTCTAGCTGAGGAACTGCGACAATGCTGTTAACTGTCCCTTTGATATCTTGTAAGCCTATGTGATGAAATTTCATCTTCAGTGTTTCATCGGATGTTATCTGACATCGTTACTTCAGGTGTGTGTCTCTTCCTTCAGCCACGTGTTGATCCAACATAGCCAACATCTAGTTGTAGTGTCCAGTTGTGTTATCTTCTTATCTTCCATCTTGAATATCTATTACGGGATTCACTGATGATCTTGTAATCTCAAACCCTGATGTATCATGAAGGGCTCCGTATGATTAAGGGGAAATCTGCTATCGTTGAACGGCAGGACATGCTGACTCTGATTATAATCCTTCCCATGAGTGCCTGCGAGCAGATTGATGAAGGTCCAAGTTGGAAGATCTGTATCAGCGCAGTCTGTAGAATCCTGGAGAACGACTGGATCTACTTCTGTGTTAGAATCCTTCCTGCGTGGAAGCTCCATCATGGACTGCTAATGCTAAGCTGGCGTTCGTTGAATCCTCCAGGCTTTTAACTGTTGATACTTCTGACGGTAAAGATCTTCGCAAACGTAACCGTTCGTGCAGGCCTTCATTTGAGAGCTTATATAGCTAACATTCCTTCGCGCAGGTCGACTGTCATCGGCGGGGTCTGCTATGCTGAGCTGACGTTAGTAGAGTTCTCCAGACTTCTAACTTCAGACAGTGAAGTTAGACATTACCCTATCTGAAGATCCATAATGATGTGAGTCTCTGTATGTAGATCTGCGTGCAGGTGAACGGTCCCGATGTGACCGTGTATTCCTCCTGGAGTCTTGAGATATCTCTCTAAGCCTTCACGAAGGCTGATTGACGTAATCTCCCCTCTCTCTATGGGATGATCTGTATGAAGAGCTTAGCGCAGGCGTGCGATCCCGATGCGATGGTGTACCCTTCCTGGAGTCTAGAGATGATTCTCTAGGTCTTCGTGAAGGTGGGTTCCTGGACGTAGCTTCCCCTCTGTAGGAGTGCCTTCGCAGGGAAGGGAACTTCAAGGGATTTCAAGTGTTCCACTACCATTCACAAGAGGAATGAGACAAGCATAATTAGCATGAGTCAGGATAAGGAAAAATAACGGTATTAGCAAAATGTTGATGTAACTCCCATACTCTCACATAGACTTAACATGGGCAAATAGAATGGTTATCACCTTCATAAGCAGACTTACCAAGCCACTGAGATTCTGGGATCCAGATAGTTCAGCTTGGACGTACCCAAGGCAATTTCTTTATTTTCCTCCTGCAAAACAAAATAACGGCCATGTATCACATATACATTTCAATTTGGGGGAATGGCTGATTGAGTGTGCTAGTCCACTTACTTGAGAAATACAACATTCTTTATTATTTCATGGAATGTAATGTGAAAATTACCTTACAAAGCAGACAAGACACCTTCAGGCCATTCACTGATTTCTAATATACAGAACACAACCATCAAACAGTAGATTACAATCTACAGATGAAAATAACGCCTGCAGTGACACAAAATTCTAGGAATTCTGGCTGGTTTACAAGAATCAAAATCAGAGCATATCAAGGATTAAAATAGGTTTCTGGCATGCCTAAGGGAAGCAACTGTACATAGGAATCTGCACACTGTAGAAGACCGATCTACCCATGCCCACCATTCTAAAACAAGATCAGCTAAAACACATAATCCAGTGTTCACGAATGGTGTTTCAAAGTAACAGGACATTGGGTCCTGTAAGTTTCAGATGTGTGTCTGACCCATTGAACATTCAATGGACCCATAGAATAAAATTAAACACACATTTCAGATTTAATATTTCTTATAATTGGCATTGAAATTATTAACAAACATGAGATTTATAAACAGGAAACAAGTGTTACATGCCACATATAACAACTTCAGTCAAAGTCATTGTGAAACATACAGTCAGACACTGGGGCCGGTGGGTTGTAGACTTCTATCAGACCGTTGGCGAATCTGCCGGAATTGTCAAGGGTCAGACGCTATTCATGAACATTGATAATCTAAATATTATATGATGGTGTTGTGTTGACAACAGTGAACTAACCTTATCTGTGGCCTGCACCTCCAGCTTAGTGAGCTGTTCCTCCAGACGCTGTACTGCCTTCTTCTTCTTCTCAACAGTCCTGTAACAACACACTCGTGGTCAGACACAGACATTATGATAGCCCCTAAGGATGAATGTTATTCTAGACAATATCCCAGTCCTTGTAAATTTTTCTCATGACACGAAACACGCAACACACTTTTAGCTTACCTTTTAGCTTAGCATGACCATATCATGGTCTTCTCTATAATATCAAAAGAAATCAAAACAAAAACGCATCATTAACTCAACTTAAACTTAACATTAATTTCATCAAAGTATTTATTAGCTTGTCACAGATTTATATCAACAACTAAGACATCATTTTTAGAATGACTTTGTGCCGAGTTCCCCTTTCAAAAACTATTCCAGACCTGGAAAACTCAAAACTTAAATGACATGACCTGTACATGCCCTGGGCAACAAAAACTAATCTAATGTCATCAGGAAGCTGAAAAAACTAAATTGTGACATGCATACCATCACAATTAGACCTCCCAAACCCAAATATGTAAGACATTTACACAAACATTTATCTTTTGTTTATTTACTTTTAGCTTTAATCTGTATGAAGTGTGTTGTACTTACTGTCTTGCCTTCTCTGTGTTATGGGCCTTATAGTCAGACTTGGCATCTTTCACAGACTTCTTGGCATCTTTTACCTGCAGCTTCTTCTCATCAATCTGAAACAGATGTCAACTACACTATCAACTACTGATCCCTGAAGATCTAGGTTAGAATTGGTCTTCAACAACTTACGCTTATCGTAAAAGGCGACTAACAGGATCGGGTGGACAGACTCGCAGACTTGTCATCGTATCCCAATTGTGTAGATCAATGCTCATGCTGCTGATCACTGGATTGTCTTATCCAGACTCAATTATTTACCAACTGCCGCCATATAGCTGGAATATTGCTGAGTGCATCGTTAAACAACAAACCAACAACCAGCCATCAGTTACCTCGCCTTCACAAAACCTATATTCAATCCCATCTGCTGCTGTATCAAAACATGGCCTACAGATTTAAACGTAACATTGAGTAGACAGGGCAAGACACAACAGCAAGGGGTCTCAAGTGAATGTGTGAGTAAGTTGGGTTTTACGGCGCTTTTAGCAATATTCCAGCAATATCACGGAGGGGGACACCAGAAATGGGCTTCACACATTGTGCCCATGTGGGGAATTTCTAACACCAATGGAAGATATTCTTCATGAAATGTTATACGCATTTAACATAATCGGTGGGATAGAATTCCCCTGTACCTTTTTCATGAGGTTGTCCATGGACTGGGCAAAGGTTTTTGGAGCTGACCGCTGATGGTTACACAAGATAGCCACAGCACGGTTGGCTCGGTTGTAGGACAGGATCTTGGCTGGAATAGGGTCTTCAGCTGTAGGAGAATAAAAACATTTATGACTAGATATTAATCTTTCAACACATAATGACAAGTTGATATTTTGTCACACGGCAGGTAGGTTCTTCATGGACAGGTATCAATTTAGCACAAATCTATTAATATGTGTTAGATATAAGAAAGTCTTACGATTTGTGAGAATGTCCAACTGTTCCTGTAGGGTGCGGGAAGCATTGTATGTCCTGAACACCTTGGCAGTCAGGCCTTCCATCAGATCATGCAGATGCTTGTTCAAAATGGCAGTCTGAATCAAATGGAGAACATGGGTCATTTTTACGTAAACTGTTGATAAGACATGGCACACTTGTACAGTAATCTTGTCAGTAACTTTGAAAACCTGAAACACAGGACTGTATGCTACATCTAACAATATTTCCACTGATAAGAATTGTCCATCTCTCTACATCACATCATAACTTGGTTAACAACTTAACCTTTGGGACTACTATCATTCTATCCAGGCTTGAGGGTTGGGCCACGCACGTACGTGGTTGATAAATAAAGGAACACAGAAGATTACCTTTTGTGTAGTTTTCACGCTAACAAGATTTTGAAAAGTGTCATGTTGCCTTGAAAATAAGGTCAAGGTCACCCTGAAATGACTGTTGTCTGCATGGCTGTCGACATAATTGAAGACATTGGGTGCAACGTTTTATGAGATATCGCGTTTACATAAGTTTGGAAAGTGGTCAAAGTGTCATGGTGACCTTGAAAATAAGATCAAGGTCATCCAATTCGACTGTTGTCTGTGTAATCCCCCAATGCAGATTGCCACCAAATTTGAAGACATTGGGTAAAACGGTTCATGATACATCGCATTTACAAGAATCAGGATGTACATGCGTACGGATGTACGGTCTCTGCTGAATACATTCTTGACAACAAGCATGGGGTACAGAGGGTCTAACCATACCCGGCATCCTCACATTCATGAATGACATGACTTTTGTCATGTGTTTTCATTTGTAACTCACATTAAGTCTGTCGAAGAGGTCATCTTCAGGCTGCTTGTTGTCCATGAAGAGCTGCAGGTTCTTGAAGACTCTCTTCTCCACGGGCATGCTGTTGTTGTAGCGGATGGAGTCCTTACCGAGGAAGTCAAACTCCACCACACACTCCTTGTTGTCCTTCTCCTCGTGCAGCGTCATGTGTTCCACACGCAGCGAACAGCAGCCCACCGTGTCAGCCGTCTCACCTTCCTCCTTCTCGTTACCAGCTCTCAGAGCCAGCTGGACGAATACAATACAGAATTAGTTGTTGGACAACATACAAGATGGGATATAGTTAGGGCTCTCAAAATTCCAGTATTCAGACCCACGTCTATGTCAAATATTAGTTAAATTTCTCAACTTGACAAAAATTCTAACTTGGCTTAGTATGATCATGATAAGTGTTACAACTTTGGAAGGATTAGATATATTTCAAACAATTGGAAGGGACTTTTATTCCTAGTCAAAATTTGAACTAACATTCCAAAATAGATATCTGATAATTTGTTTAAGTGTAAGGAAATAAAACAGATGGCAGAGAATTCTAATGTACTCTGTAGACACTACTGAGAAACATGATTGACAAGAAAGCCAACGTGTGAAAGTTGAAACATGTTTTCTTAGCTCATACCTGCTGATAACATATCCTGAATTTATGCCACACCCAACATTGTTTGTATCTTGATAATATAATCGTGTGGGAATCACCTTGTCAATGAAGTAGAGGGCAACAGCTCGTTGTCGTATTCTCATCTCCTTGGATTTCCAGTCTTCACGATACTGAGCACGGATCTTGTCAACACACTTGTGCAGACGACGTGCCACCTCATACTTCTGCCAGTCCTTCTCTCCCTGAAAGAAAGAGATAGGAAAAATGAACAACCACCGCATGAATCATTTCAGACAGAGTATTAATAGCAGACTGCAACTGTTTTGGGTTTCAACTCATTAGACCAGTGAAGATCCGGGCTAGAACTGGTCTTCAGCAACCCATTCTTGTTGTAAGAGGCAACTAACAGGATTGGGTGGTTAGGCTCACTGACTTGGTTGACACATATCATTGTATCCCAATTTAGTAGATCAATGTTAATGCTGTTGATCATTGGATTGTCTGGTCCAGACTCAATTATTCACATATATCTGGAATATTGATGAGTGTGAACTTAAACAAAATATTTACTGGGATCTCCATTCATATTACTAGTGTTGGACTATACGGTACAACCACTAAAGTTGATTATCTCTTCAAGTTACAGGTGCTCAATGTCACATCTCATACAATATGTACCTATGCTAGTGACACTGCCAAGATTCCAGTGAGTTTTGTCTAACACTGCATTGTATGGCATGTCAGTCAGGCACTGGTGAAATCCACAGCACTTACAAATAGCTGACAAACCTAGACACGTCAGGAACGACACAAACTCAAGTTTTCTAGCTGGACTAAGGGACAAAACTGAAGTGAAATGAAGTGCCTTACACAAAGGGGCCAGCTGTTGACCCATCAAGATTGCAAATACCAAAATCATATTACCCTGCACTGCACCCAGAGTTTTGCAAATGAAGCTTACCTTGAGTTTGGAAGCAGCGTTCAACATGATATATTTGGTCTGACCCTGGATGTTTTCGTTCCAGCTGGAGAGCCATGTTACCTGTCATACAACACAACATTCAACTGATATTTGCCATGGAATAAATTATCTATTTAAAAAGTCTTTCCATTTACAATGTCTTTAGCCAACTGTACAGTAACAACAACTCTAATACTTATGACAGCTGTTGACAAACACAACACATTAATTCTTCCATTTACTTTTAAGAATAATGCAATAGTAACTGTTCGTTTATGGAAAGAATTAATCAGGACCACAATGTGAAACAGTTCCGGATTTTTTTTATTGATGTAGGAAAGTTACTTGCATGTTAAATTCCCTGAAACCACTTGTGCATATGAACAAAGCTTACCGAGTTATCATGGCGGACTTCTTTCCACCTGTGGCCTTCAGGAGGCTTCGGGATATTAGAATCTCTGAAGAAGTAAACCAAATTGACAAATAAAATCTCCAAACTTCAAATCAACATATTATTGTACTACAAACTTCATGTAATCACATACAATTTTCAGAATTCAGTTCTCTACTACTTCAATGGCCAAAGACTACCAAAACCACACAGTCACATCCAAAGATTTTATATTACACAGTAAATGGCACAACAAATAGCAGGATTGACAAGTCAAATTATACTTTTTTCTCTTACTTGCTACAGTTGATGATGACATCCTCAGGCTGTACCCTCCTCTTCAACATGCCCTGCTTGGGATGGTCACCTCGCCCTCGGAACAGGCCTGGGGGTTCTATCTTAAAGTTACCGATTTTCTCTGTGTGACCATCAATCTTGCAAAAGCCATACTCCTTCACTAGCTCTTCATTCCTCTTTTTATTTACCTGTAGTCACAAAGGAAATTCTTCAAAACACTTATAGTCTCTAAAATTTGGAAGGTAACTGTGAAATTCATTGAAACTGTGCACAAATAAATCACAGATGTTGTTGACTAACAGTTGTCAGTCTCTGTAGCAACAAATGTCACACTCCAAGTTGACAAACTAAAAAAACTTCAAAGAACTGAAAATCAATAAGGAAAAATGCTGACAAAGCAGTGTTCAAAACTACAGTTGATCTTTTATGGTACTTGTATCCAGGGACTACCGAAATCCTTCATTTTAATTCAAGCTTGTTTATTATGCTAATATTTGTATAGCGCCAATATTCAGCTCAGCTGCTCAAAAGTGCTTTATTTTTCCCTCGATCATTGGATGTCAGTTTCAAACGGCACATCGTATTATCAATCTTAACTCCATGGGGAGCATACAACTATTGCGCACAAAGTTATTGCGGCTTTCCCATCCTTACGAGGTACCCATTCACAGCTGGGTACACTGGGACACATGGTCACAATACTTTGTCCAAGTTTACTGCACATTGCTGTACCCGCAACTACGTGTTTCCACATATTCATGTGGCCACCATCTTGTCATTTACCAAAGGATTCGTGGGTTCTTTTAAGTGCACAGGGTTGTGTAATGTACACTCGGGGTTGTGACAACACTGAAGGAGTCTGCACACAAAGTTGACTCCAAGGTGGGCTCCAAGGTACACACTAAGGCTGTTACGATTCACTCGCATATTCGGTGAATCGAACCGTAGCCCTTCATGAATTCAATTAGTTATTCGTGGTCACTAGAACCGAATATTCATGAATATTTACAAAAACCTTTATGGAGTATGTTTTACTTGAACCCTTATGTCCTTTTTCAATATGAAATATGCAAGAATGCATTATGTACTAGCCTTGTAGCGCAAGTCATGTTAGTTTGCCAAGGCCACACATGGTACTGTCAACTATAACTATTACATACCAAATTTGAGTGTCATCAGATCACTGGTTATTGCTGTGACAAATTAACACTGTCACCATGGGCAATCAATATTGTGCATCAATCACTTAACTACAATATTGTATTCGTGAATAATTATTCGTATTCGTTACCTAATATTCGTGATACATATCATATTCGCAACATAGTGTATTCGTTACAGCCCTAGTACACACAGTCACAGGTGGGCTCGATCCTGGCATCTCATGCTCGCTGGATCACTAGCTGCGCGCCTCAGGCAGCTCGCCCACCATGCCCCATTGTTTATGACAAGGACCCTTTGACTTTCTTCATACTCATTATCACACTACAGAAGGACAGTTTGCTCTGTTCAAATATTAGTTATATGTACGGCTGCGCAATATAACCGGTTTACCGGTATTTACCGGTTCAGGCATGAAAACGATACCTATTGCAATACGCTGAATAAAACCGGTATTTTCACATGCTTTCGGAAAACGTCGTAACACTCGGAAATCTTCGGATATTTCCTTGTTTCATTTGTGCCAAATATTATTCATATTTTTATTTTATCATGATTAAAATTTGTTATTAAAGCTTAATCAAGCATAGTGATTTTGTTGTGTTTTTGCTCTATAAATCAAGCAGTAACTCGATTATAAGTAGTTTTTTGTTTAAAAATACTTCATGCAATATATTGCAATGCATATCGCAATACATGCTTTCGCATTGCAATATATCGCAATACGAATATTCTCTGCAATACCCACCCCTAGTTATATGTCATATGGCTACAGGGTAAGTTGACTCACCAACTTCTCCTCCTTTGTCATGGCCTTTCGTTCCTCTGTCTTCATCTTGAAATAGTCAGCCATTTCACTGAAGTTGCATTTCCTTAGATCCTTGATCTTGTCCTTTTCTTCAGAAGTCATTGACTACAAACAAATTATAGTTATGCTGGCTCAGAACAGTTAGATTAACACTTGGAAAAGGGAAACAACTCCAACATTGTGCGGTATATTAGACACCCTGGAGGCTTCTATATGAAAAATGGTATACATCTCCTTGACATTTAACATCCAGAAAAGGAAATAGGACGACTATAAGGTGTATTCACTAAGGCTGTTACGATTCACTCGCATATTCGGTGAATCGAACCGTAGCCCTTCATGAATTCAATTAGTTATTCGTGGTCACTAGAACCGAATATTCATGAATATTTACAAAAACCTTTATGGAGTATGTTTTACTTGAACCCTTATGTCCTTTTTCAATATGAGATATGCAAGAATGCATTATGTACTAGCCTTGTAGCGCAAGTCATGTTAGTTTGCCAAGGCCACACATGGTACTGTCAACTATAACTATTACATACCAAATTTGAGTGTCATCAGATCACTGGTTATTGCTGTGACAAATTAACACTGTCACCATGGGCAATCAATATTGTGCATCAATCACTTAACTACAATATTGTATTCGTGAATAATTATTCGTATTCGTTACCTAATATTCGTGATACATATCATATTCGCAACATAGTGTATTCGTTACAGCCCTAATATTCACCTTCCTCCAGTCCTTCATGAAGTTGTTGTTGAAGACGTCACGTGTGGTGTAGTCATGTTCCAACATCTTGGCATAGAATGTACCAACTTCCTCTGCATCATTGGACAAAGACATCTCCTTTCCTAGAAACATACCAACAGTAGAAGATAATTTAAGTTTAATGATAAACACAACAAAGAGATTATTACTCCTGCCACTGTAACCAAAGCAACCTGTTTTACCTTTCCACCATTATTCAAGTCAATGCTGTCATATAGCTGGAATATGCTGAGTGCAGGGTTAAACAACAAACAAATATCAAGTCAATGTGTTAGTTAACATTTCTGAGTGAGTGAGTGAGTTTAGTTTTACGCCGCTTATAGCAATATTCCAGCAAAACCACAGCAGGGAACACCAGAAATGGGCATCACACATTGTACCCATGTGGGGAATGGAACCTGGGTCTTCGGTGTGACGTGCAAACGCTTTAACCACTAGGCTACCCCACTGCCCCGAACATTTCTGAACTGCAACAGAAACCTTAGAACCTTTCAAAGTGATTTCTTAGAGTAAATGTATTTCCTATATTTGTAATATTAATAGCGATAGGAATGAACCTACAACAATTAGAAGCCATAATTGTGAATGAAATGTAAGATTAAAAAAAGCAGAATCTACTAATATTCAGTATACAATCAACAAAACCATTGACAGCAAATTTCCATTGCTTTAACATGAGATGGCAGTTTGATTAAATCCCCATGAGTAGTAAACATGTCCTCACCGTCATAGTAGAACTTGACTGATTTGGGCAAAGGCTCATACAGAGGAGCAAACACTGGGCCCCTATGTTGCAGGAAATACCACTTGGTTCCATCATCTTTCCGTTCCTCCTCCCACCTGCACATACATCACTGTCACTAATACAGGTATCACATACATCCACATAATAAGTACACTTAAACAAAATTGTCAGTTTTTGAAGGCAACGTGAGGTGAAATTGGGTTTAACGTCGTGCTTGAGAATATTTCGCTCATATGACGACGTGCATGCGTGTGTATGTGCGGCTGCTTGTACTAGCCCAGACTTAAGCTGGTTTTATAGTGCTAGCCCACTGAGATACCATGCCGCAGTGAAGCATGAATACCCTACTCAGACACATTATACTGACTCCGAGCCGACCAGTCCTTGTTGTACCCATTAATGCCGAGCGCCAGACAGGGACCAACAAGTACCATATTTTAACGTCTTTTGGTATGACGCGGTCGGGGATCGAACCCGCGACCTTCCGCTCTCCGGGCGGACGCTCTAACCACTACACCACGGAGGCGGTCGTCAGTTTTTTAAACAATCACAGGGTGTGCAGTCTATATTTAGCTAGAATCCAAATGTTTATGTTTCATCTGCATTTGAACTGAGTTCTTTCTCTGTGGCTAAGTTACTGAAAATCAACTTGACATGTGTCATCCCTTGTCTATAAGTGTCCAGGATGCTTATTATGGCAAATATGGTAATCCCTGCAAATACTCAGCTATATTCTGGTCACCCACCATTTCCAGACTTCTGGTTCAGGGCCTTCTCTTTCTTGGTTTTTTTGGTAGGGCTGGGTAATTCTTGTATATGCTGCGTCTTCTTTTTCAGCTTGTCCTTCTTCTTCTTTTTAATTTCCTGTGGAAGAAAGAAGAGGAAGGCATAAAGCTTAGCAATTACTCAAAAAACTATCGAACATGGATGAAACACACAGGAATTATATCAACATAATATTTGAGGAATACATATGTTATTTAACAAAAGTCTGCACCCTAAGTTATTATTACAAAGTGAACAAAAACAAAACCACACAGGTGACATAAAATAACATACATACAGAACAAATACTAAAATTTTTCTATTATCCTTATGGGAAAAGAGCGAGCGAGTTTTAGGCCGCTTTTAGCAATATTCCAGCTATATCACGGTGCGGGATACCAGAAATGGGCTTCACACATTGTAACCATGTGGGGGAATAAAACCTGGGTCTTCAGTGTGACGAGCGAACGCTGTAACCATAAGGCTACCCCATCAGTCCTATATTACAAAGCCAGACTCTAGTAGAATGCTTTTCTGCATAGTATACTTTGTTCATTACATTAACACAGCAATCCACTGAATACATTATTAAGTGACAGATCCAGGCAGTAACAGTAACCAACCGGTTTGAATTCCTCTTCCTCCTCCTCTTCTGCTTTCCTCTTTTTATTGACCTTCTTGTCCTCAACTTTCACTTTCTTAACTTTCTCAACCCTGAACATGTAAACCAATAACAATCATTACTGTGGTATAGAAATGCATATGTACTGTTAGACTAGTTTACTTCTGTGAATTGGATTCCATGTGTTGATTTCGTATAACTCTTAGTGCTGCACCATTCAAAATAATGGGGTTGGGAGTGGCTAGTATTTATAAATTCTTGTGGGTCTTCAAGTTTGTTTGCTATAGTATTTGAAAAAGGACCTCCCTATATATGTATGTTTGAACATTAGGGCGTTGACAAGAACTTCATGATTATACAAACACTGGACTTGAATATTCATGCTTTAAGTTATAAATGCAACAAAATTATATTCATAAAAAAATAACTATGTAATTACAATATATTATCAGCCAAATTGGCACCAAGGATCTACCTAGGTATGTTCAGGTGCCAATTTTTGGCCCTGAATCAGACATCTGTCATTATTCACAAACTTGACTTACAAATATCAAAATGTAGTTCATATAGGTACTAAGGATATGGCTTTGTATATGTGACTAGACTGGTGTATCATCAACCAATTAGAAGAAAATAACGACCTCCCCACATCCCAACTGCCTGCCAAGGGCACTTAGTCTAGAATCCTAGATAAATCTCTGAGCACATCCTTGCCAGCCAATCAGATATTGGTCACTGACCTTGATGACAAGGGTTCATCGTCTGAAGATTCTTCTTTATACGACCTCTTCTGTGCAACAGGCTCCTCCTTGATTCTGGCAGACTGCACAACACAAACACTTTAATACCTGGTTGTCTTGCCATAACTCATGATATGATGGATTCGTCAAAAAACAAATAGTCTTTAAGCCAGATCGTAATTCATGAGAGTGAAAAATAATTACAAATATTATGAAAGTACGGGTAACGGCTGAAGTCTTTTGTTCATTCACTCTTTATGTTGTAAAATATTCACTGCACATCCAATATAAACAGGAAAATAAACAGGAAACACTGAACAGGTGATATATTCAAAACATTCTCCCTAAAGATACCATAGTAACCTTATTATCCTTTGATGTATATTGCCTGCCAACCCTTTTCTTTTTTCTATCTTAAATCCACCTATGTGATAATAGCTAAATTACATAACTATAACAAGTTCATTCTTGATCCACCTTATGTCAAGACATTTGCAGAAGTACTGAACTTCAACCCCATGGCCTGTGGAAAGTACATACCAGAGGTTTGTCATCGTCATCACTCATTGGTTCGGCCTTTACAACTGGCTTTGGTGGAGAACGATCTTCATCAGACTTCATGTCAACATCTGAGCCAATTGATGGTGCTCCTGGCTCTGTTTTTATGCTTGTTTTCTCCTGCTTGTCACGTTTTTCCTTATGATGCTTCTCCTTATCCCTTGACTTGTCCTTACTGGAGCTGTGTGATGAAGAAGAATGATCCTTACTCTTACTCGATGAACTGCTTGACTTATGTTTGTCTGATGAGCTTGACTTGTGTTTATCAGATGATGATGAGCTTGATGACTTGTGTTTGTCTGGGGATGAAGATGATGATTTACTGTCTTCTTTGGATGAAGACTTGTGTCCATCCTTATGTCGGTCCTTGTGTTTATCCGAGGAGCTGCTGCTGCTATGGTGTTTGTCTTTGCTGCTGGAATGGCTGCTACTGTGGTGCTTGCTGCTGGAGGAAGAACTCCCATCCTTGTGCTTGCTGCTGGAGCTATGGCCATCCTTATGCTTGCTGGAGGAGCTGGAGGAATGATGCTTTGAGCTGCTGCCATCTTTATGTTTTGAGCTTCCATCTCTGTGTTTGTCCTTGGATGAGGATGAGGAGCTGTGATGTTTGCTGGAACTATGGTGGTGGTCTTTGGACTTACTGCTGCTGTGGTCACGGTGTTTGTGTTTGTCTCCCCCTTCATGTTTGTCAGACACATGGTTGGACAGACCATTAGATGAGACATGGTTGGCAGCTGGTTCACCGCTCCCTCCGTTCTGCATCTTCTTCTTCAGAACTTCAGCTGTAACCAAACTCTGATATTACAAGCATATCAATCACAACATTGGCATGATTACTTACAACTGTTCCAAACTGGGATTATTGGGGATGTGGTGGATAAAAAAATAATTCGAAGTATAATCGCCATTTCAGTTGCAAGCAAAAACAAATATTTTCTAGATCCATACAAAAAACCTGATTTACCACCTTGACCTCAATAAAAGTTTAAAACACTTTAACATTATCAACACACACAATTAGGGGCTAGTCAAAACACTTTCACATATGATTGGGTTCAGGGCGAGTGGCGCAGATCAAAGGCATAACTATTTAAAATTGTTGCTATATTAGAGTCAGGCTTTGATGTAAAAGAATTTGCACAAACTTAATATATACCATGGCATAATTATCATAAAGGGTAAATGGTAACATGTCACAAACAGTCCAATGGAAAAAGATGACAACATCTCTTTTGTATGTGGAATACTGTCAATGTGCAAAATTAACATTTGAAAAGTACAAAGAAGCCAAAGTAGTAACATCAATAGTCAGTAAAGTCTTTTAATACTAGCAGGGAAACAGAACAAAATAATTCCTTTAAGTAACCTAGCAAACAGTGAAAAGATTTTTTTTTAAAAACACAAGAAATGAATAGAAAAAGTATTTAAAATCTTAAGTTTCCATTCAATTCTGTAGAAGTATTTCACTTTCATCTTGTGAAATGACTATGTTGTATTGTCTTATCCTATCCTAATAAACATTATTAAGTTCTCTTTGTCACTTCTAAAAATAATATGTTATTTCATAACTAATGTTTATATAAAAGAGCTGTATGTGTACAGTTGAACCCCAAAGCTGAAAAGTTGGAAGTGCTCAAACCCAGTCTACCTTTATGTTTTACCAGAATAAAACATTGTTGTTTGGGAAAAGAAAATGGATTTGCAGTTCAAATAATGGTAAACCATTTGGCATTTAAATAAAGATTCCTTACTGTGTTGCAAAGGTGAACAAGTAAAAGGGGCGGTACGAATCTTCATGAATATGCAAATGAGGTGAATGCGGTCACATGTGAGGGAGAAACATTTAGTTCGCAGCGGAAACAAAGAAGTTTAACAACACTACGAACAGTATTTGAAAACCCGCTTTCTTAAAACTAGCTCATGACATATCAATCTTTAAAATAACAAATCAAGGACATCAACAACAATCGATGAAAAAGCTCACAATCGATCAATATTTAAAAGTCTCCCGCGCCCGAAGCCAGTGTTGATCTGGTAGCCAAGCCGTGCTTTCATCGCCTAAGTCGAAACACTTGTTACCAGTATTGAAAAGTTAAAGTAAGCGCAAAAATCTTCACTGTACAATAAAACCATATACATTTTCACATTTAAAATAAAAAACGACAACAAATTTAGGCTACTATCAAAGAAAACGCGATTGTGTTGGACATAGACTCTCGTACGCCGGAATCTGATTTGTCCTTTCACGAGTCTAAGTCCGAACATCTATTTCGCACCTGCTACACATTTACTCACCAGATTCTGGCCTTTCCGAGGAACTAACAGAGTCCTGAAAATTATAAGAAAGAGTCTGTGATCCACAAAACAAATACAGAACAAAAATCCGATCGATTATCACCGAGGAACTCTGATATTTAAACACAAAAAGACCACATTGACCTGCCGAGCAGTTCGGACTCTGAAAAATTTTCAGCCATCTTGACTTAGTCTCAGCGAGGCGCTTTGTCTGGTACCCTGGGCCCTCGACAAATCAAACAATCACAGTGAATGTAGAACAGATGTAACCGTTTCAAAATGTTCATCAATGAAATCGAACTCACCATCGAGTGATTAACGCGACCAAATCCGTCGGCACTTGCCATATTCACAAAATCTTTTCGCTTGATATTCCTCTTTGCAATGGCGGAGGAAATCTAGCTGCGTGTGCGGCTAAGTCCCAATTTTATCTCATTGAGCATGCGCAGACTGTGACTCGCGCACGCAACATAACAGTGACAGGTAAACAACAGTACAAAGACAAATATTGCCATCTCAGCACTCCCTAATTGAAAACAACTACTACATGACACATTTCCGATAGGGTATGAATGTAATGTCATAAGAAATATCTTTGAAAATCAGTTCAGAAACGAAATTTCAACCAGAATGAGTATTGTAAATGACACTCGCCTTTAGTTGGTACCCCCGCCCAGTGTCCAGCCTCTACACTTGCATAAAGCAGTAACACGACCGACAACGAAACGTACGGACATATTAAAAATAATAAATCTAAACTAAACTCAGGGCAGTATCAGTCATTCGAATTTTTTGATAAATTAACTATAATTTGCGTTAGTACTTCAGACTTTCATGAGCGATATTCAACACTGCAAGACATCGGTGTATCATATTTACAGACCTGTCAATGAAATGCATATGATACAAATTATCGTGGAAAAAATATGTTTTAAACGATATTTATTATTCAATAGAGCATGTGCATATAATATAGTAATGAAATGGAGTGGATTGGCAAACAAGCCTGTGGCTTATATTAATGCCTTTCCACATGGTGCAGAATATACAATGAGGGTACACTACATATTACAATATATTAAGACAAATATACACGACAAACATAAAACATAAATTCTAGAGCATGGAAGATCAATTTTAAATGCGAGAAGATAGTAGATGTTAGATGTGCGGAATCAAGTGAAATATAACAAATTTTTAACGTGCACTTATTTTGGTAAAATAATAACTTAGGTGGCGGACAAGGAAAAGTGTCTTCTTATTCAGTTTTAACAGATTAAAGATTAATCATCGCAACAGGAAAGAATAAAACTTGGAAAGAAACGTGTCGACCAGAATAAAATGGTTCTTGTCATTCAGGAAATCGCTCAGTTGCTGTAATATATTGAATAACAGAGTCAATAATTTTTAGAGCGTCTTGTTCAGGTACACCTCTCCCATGTAGGATATCTATTATACTTATGTTATGTGTGAAGAAATATTTATCTTTGCGTATGTGTTGGTATACTGGACAGACGAATAAGTAATGATAGACATCTTCGGTTGGATGGCCACATTGCCATGAAGGATTTTCAACTAAGAATCTTCTGTGCATATCTGCCTTTAGGTTACTGCATTCTAATCTTAATCTACACATAATTATTTGTAAGTGGCGTGAACCTTAGTTTACATACCGTTTAAAGTCTTGTGTAACAGGTCTATCCTTTGTGCAACAGAAGGGGGGACTAACAGTGATAGATATGAGGGTGTCATACCGTTTTTCATTTTATAAAATAAACTCAACCGGTGACAGTATCGGCGTTCAGCAAGGGAACTTAATCCTATTTCTCTCAGTAATTTTTCATGATTAGTTCGACGAACTGCACCGGTTATAGTTCTAATTGCATCTATATGTAATTTTTCTAATCTTAATTCTTGGTCTTTAGTGTAATTATGCCAAATGTGGTCGCAGTAATCAAATATAGGTAGAATGAACGATTTCTACAGAATTTCGAGACTTTTCCTACTAAGTCGGTATTTAAAGCTACGTAGGCAGTTTATTAATGGGCTTATTTTGTTAACAACAAAGTCAATATGGCTGTGCCATTTACCGTTTTCTTGGAATACGATGCCCAAGTGATTATGAGTTGTCACTTCTTTTACTTTAATGTTATTCAAATATAGATTAAACTTTTGACTTGGTTTTGTTTTAGTTGTAAAAAGCATGGCTTCGGGTTTTTCGGGACTGAAACTTACTTGCCAAGTCTCAGCCCAATTAGAAATTTTACTTAAGTCGTCGATCAGTAACCGGTGTGCTTGTTTAACGTCTTCTATTACGATATACAGCGATGTGTCGTCGGCGAATAGCCTTATATTATATAAAAGATATCTCTAATTGTTTTTGAAATATTGCTTCGACCTGCCTGTGTCATTTAACCAAACCGCGATAAATTAATCAGAAGTATAATTCAGAACGAACAACTGCAGTTAAGAATCTGAGTGTACCTTGTATGTTATTGTTTATTCGAAAAGTTGGAAAGATCATCAGTTGAATGCATATTATGGGCGGGCATGTATAAGCCTTGTTAAGTTACCACTATCTTGAATTATTAATTAGAATATATTAATAAAAATAATTTCATCAGTTACACAGAAGTATAAAATAAGCTGTAGTTGTAATATAACACATTTTATGCGTAATAAAGCAAGGTCGTTTATGTTGTCTTTCATTGTAGACTTAATACCTTCACGTAATACTTAGACTTGTACAAGCTTCTGAGGCAATAATTATTAGTTTAAATGATAATTTCTAGAAAATATCAATATAAAGAGCAACAGACTGGAAGGGGTAGAATTACTGGTTGAGTCCCAATTCGCCTACATCCCATTTCACAATGTATGAGTAAAAAGATAAGTATATCATTGTCTTTAAATGGAGTCAGCTTATAATCTGTGTTTATATTGGCTTAAGGATTACGGCTATGAATATCAAAAGTAGCAGTGAAATACTTACAGCTGTTTGTGATTATAAACAAATATTAATCATTTTGTTGCTACACACTGGAAGTGTGCGATCCAGGGATGTAAAGGAAGATGCAGCACCATAATGGTCTGAAAAAACTTGTGGGAAAGCACCATCCGAACATTTATGAATTCATAACAGCTATCAAGAACATTGAATCCACCAACAAGATCGCTCGCCTTCAGATTGACCATGGTGCAACAACTCTGCTACGCTCACGAGCTTACAGAGATCTTGACCAGTGTCTCAACCGACTGAGACGACAACTTGAAAGTGGAAGAAGATCACCTATTCAGCTCCTGGACGCAGCAGGTCACTTATTGAAGCTTCAATAAACTCAGACATCCATGAACTCAAGTACAGTGTACTAGTTAACAGCCAGTGTTATTTTGATTATTGTATTATATTGTACTATGATTTGCTGTGAATAAAAAACATGAAAGAAGAAAAAGCTTTTTATTTTAATGCAAAAAGCCATGTTGTCTACATGAGCTATTAATCAAATAAAGGAAAACTAGGGGAGATTCCATTTATATCTGAAGGGGGTAAACTTATTACTCATGCATGAAATAACAGTCACCAGACCATGAATTGTTGTTTTAAGACTGTAGGCGAAATGGGATGTAGGCGAAATGGGAACATGCCAGAATTACTGTGCATCCATGCTTTTTCATTCAGTACAGTCTTGGAGCAAGGCTACGTGACACCGGATAGCTTACCAAGTCACCTTTACTTATTTTCTATTTTCAGACAACATATACTGACCCCCATTTAATATTTCGGGGCGGGGGATGTTTGAGAGTTTTAATTATTTTTTTTTCCACAAAACATTTTGTGTGGACATACGGATCTCCAGCGCAAGCAATTGAGGGGTGAAACATTACGACACTTTTGCCACAGGTACTGACATTGACAGATTCCCTTTGTAACGGATATCCAAAGCTAACTCCCTTCGGGACCCATTAACATATGTGCTTGTATACTCCAGCATGCTATTATATACTTGGAATATCCGGTTTCGTTGTTCATGGGACTGTCCACAGCGGCATGTGGCTAGAAAACAACATTGTTATCTGTGAGATTCTGTCACATGTGGCCCGTAACACTAGGGGGACCTGTCTGCGGTGGTGCTCTGTTGCCCCCCTCGAATTTGATGAGATCACTGACCGGAAGGACACTTTCCACGTACATCTATCTATCTATCTATCTATCTATCTATCTATCTATCTATCTATCTATCTATCTATCTATCTATCTATCTATCTATCTATCTATCTATCTATCTATCTATCTATCTATCTATCTATCTATCTATCTATCTATCTATCTATCTATCTATCTATCTATCTATCTATCTATCTATCTATCTATCTATCTATCTATCTATCTATCTATCTATCTATCTATCTATCTATCTATCTATCCGCTACTGTAGAACACTCCAATCCCTTGTATCGTGTCAGGAGTGTAAAGCAGGATATTGCGGTTAATGTTGGAATGTTATACACTTTGCGTGAACGGGTGACGTCATGCTTGGTTAAATGGAGCACTGACGTCATAGCCTGTTTTTCCCGAGGATTGTGACAGAGCGTCCTGTTCACAGCCTCGAGCAAGCTTTCCACATCGCACAGCACGAGTCAGTCAGATGACACTGCGGTAATCTGGAAATGAGATATATCTCCATATCTTCGAGATAAAAAGTTCAGTTAGTTACACGGCGTATCATATATACCACACGCGATTTGATACGTACCTTTGTTTAGCATTCACTGACGAATATATATGAAAACCGCATTGCTAACTCGTAAGCCGATTAACAATATGAGCTGCCTGTTTTGGAGTGTTTATTGAACACTTTGCTGATTTGACACGTCTTGTAAAATCCTTATGGCGACAACAGTAATCTAATTTGGTTAATAAACACAACAGTCGGATTATCCCGGGAAGATAAACACAGAACTGACTGGTGGGCCTGCCTCCGCGGTTTCCCTTTCAAGTGTCCTGTGATTGGCAGGGAGGCGTGCTGATTGCTTTGTCCACGTGCTAATTAAGGACATGCACCCATATGCCTTATAACTGACAGCTTAATCCTTTATTGCGTTTGACGCCAGTCTTTGATCGTTGCGTCAGTTATTATTACGGTGGACCCGGAATGACACGTGAAATAGTTGTACTAGCGTGCATGTTGTTTTTGCTCAGTAATTAATACACACATTCGTTGCGTTGTAAAGAATGTTTTAACTTCAGAGGTATATAGACTTAAATTAATTAGTCTATGTTGTAGCGGCGTGATGGGGTAGGCTAGTGGTTAAAGCTTTCTCTCGTCAAGCCGAAGGCCCGGGTTCGAGTCCCCTCATGGGTACTGTGTGTATACTATCTTTTTCCCGTCAGTCTATGTGGGAATATAGTTAT